TATATATATATATTTCAGTATTTTCCAAGGACGTTTTTCGGATTGACGGTATGTATCCAAGGACTTTCAAACTTGCGCGAAGCATTTGACCGTTGTCTTTCACGATTATCACCTCAAACTCAAAAGAAATTGATCGATTGCTCTACTTCTCAGACCGGGGAGATACTTAATTATTATTCTATGCTCAATACACATCGTGCAGGTAAGTGATTCGATCTTTTTTCATTTTAAGTTGTTTTGTTTTTTTTACTGTGACATTTATATAATAGTGCGTGAGGACCCGAACCAATTGAGTGAATTCGTTTGGTGAAGTGGAATTAAATGATCATTATCAGCACCATTTTGGAATATGCAACAAATATATAGCAATTCGTTCAGGAATTAAATTGTGGCCTACGATGTACGTGAATGGACGATTCTTCGATCGCAGTTATCCCGCAGAAATTGAGATTTGCAAATACACATCATGGTGTTGAGTGTATTTGTATCACTTCAAAAGGATGCACAGCAATGGTCACTTGAACTGTATATATGCAACGAAACTGCAACTACTGATCGAACACCACTTCAAAACTTAAACATTGTTATCATTGCGAATGTGTTCATAAAATTTCATTTCTTGACAAATGGAATAATTGCACTCGCCTTTCTCGAGCATTCGTCTCACATTTTTTTCATTGAACATCACTCGAATTTCCTAGCGTTAATGTGGTGTGCACTGTAATTTCACCAAATTATTATTCGTTTAATGACAATTGTTGTGCTAACAATGAGAACCACGAAATAAGCTGACATTTTTTCAAGTATTTATCCCAAAGTCGAAGTTATAGCGTTCAGATAAAAAGCTACAGTTGGTACAATTCAACGAATCCACTTTCTCTGACCAACTGTATCGAATTAATCACATGTCATCACCAAGCATGAAAGTTGATTGTAAGGGCTTCTACGCCTCGTTCTGGTTCCATTACTACAGCTGCCATTTCGAAACATCGTAATTGTTTTTCCAGAATTATTGGATTCTCTGACGTTAATAAAGAGATGAGGATATTCAATGCACTTAACGACAGTGGGATCTCGGTTGTTTTTTAAGTCGCAACAAATGCCGTTTGCTTTCTGAAAATTGTGAAACGCGCCGTGAAATTTCAGCGTTTTGATGGAAGACGGAAAATGTTAAATTGGAACGGTAGATATCATATTTTGTCATTTTATTAGAATTTTTAATCAACTGACGTATAATTGAAACCGTTAAAAACAAATACCGACATAATACATAAATGAACATTACGGTTACAACGATAAACAAATTTCTCATCAAAACAAGAGAAACCTGAAACAATAGGCAATTAAACTTTTAACGAATTTTCCAATAAGTGAACACACGTTGAATATCGAACGTACGTTCATTCATAAATAACTTTGTACGTTAACGATATTGAATTCTTTCAAGAGCCAAAAAATGAAAATAAACATAGCTAGATCGCAAGATCAAGAATACGTTAGAACAAGAACACCGAAAAATCACAAAACGGACGAAATTGATGGAATGAATTCAATGGAAAGAATATTCGAACTAGTGAATTAAAAATGACAAAAAAACAACTGAACGAAACAACCACAACACTAACACATCGGAAGTTCACGATTAGAAACGAATCTTTAACCGATAATTCACCAATTATGCGTTAAATTTTCACATTATCAACGACTTATTGAGATCACCTTATTTTCATTTGCACCTTTACATAAGAAGGCAGTTAAAGTTATTTGAGCAGCAATGGCACACCAGTACAAACGAGACATTATGACACAACAAGAGCAAGAATATACAAGAAAATAGAACAGTTTGAGATCGTAGTCAATAATAGTCATAGTAATGTTTGTAACGCAAACAAAATAAATCAAATTGACCATTCTCTGCGTGACAATTAGTAAATGAAAAAGAAAACAAAAAATAATAGTTGAGAATTAAATAAATGCAAAGGCACTCAAAATAGGCGAAAAGTGAAAACATTTTAGACATTTGAAGGCACTCATCGATGACCAACTGTTCAGCAACGTTTTATTTCATGCGGAATCACGCCCCAAACGATATGAAGATATCGCAAAAGAGCGGTTATCTTTTGGCCCGACGCTACAGCTCGTACTCCATTGCATATTTCCCTCCAATCGATTAGTTCGATTCGCAGTTTCCTTTTAACCGCTTCGTCATAAAATCTGCTGAAAATGATGCAACAAAATTTTTGATCGAGAAATTTAACACATTCAAAATGTCGCATTCATGTTTACAACAAATACAGAAGATCAACTTGGCAAATTTGAATAGTCAATCCGCCGTTTTTGAATTTCAGATTGCAGAACAGAAAAAAAAACATACCTGGATGTTTCATCTTTCTTAGCCTCTTCTTGTACAAAGCGCTTGAGGGCAACGTTGAACACACGAAGCATTTTTTCGTTTTCCTCATTGTTATCCTAAAACATTAATACTAAAGGGGTGACAGAGTATTCAAAAAGCAGAAACTCTTCTAACATTACAATGAACATACCTGTGGTGCATTAATGAGAACTATTGTTGGTGGCTCCAGAAAAGAGATGTAATCTGTTTTCAAAGTTTCGGATGCTTCTTGGTACCTTTCCGATGAAGCTTCGTATTTTTCGTATGATGAATCCCACCATTTTCTGTAGATGCTCATTGAACGCATCTGAAATTACCACCAGTCTTTCATGTCATTATGGAACCACCATTGCGAAAGCGCTATATACCACTAACTAAATGAACTTTTGAAAGTCGATAAATAGTATCTCATGGATATTTTCCTGAAGTTGTTTGCTGATGAATGACAAAATGCATAACCGCATGATGGATTTCTTGACAAGAAATAACTCTGCACTGACATCTTTACAAGCGATTTATTTTCAAATCGAAAAGCTTGCGTCTGTAAGATACAATAACAAAACGAGCTAAATTTTTGTTATTACCGCCTCATTATCGAAAAAAAATCGTGGTGTCGAAGAATGCAAATATTTTCCAGATTCGATGAATACAGGCTTGAATGTAATAAGTGGATTTTGAAAATTCTTAGAAACAAAGAAACGGAAAGAAGTAGTAAACTGAGTGACTTACAGCAAATCTTGTGATGAACTGAATGAACACTTGTGCAGGATTATGATCGCTTGATCGTAACAATGCCACGTCATGACTGACTGCAAAGAAGATATTCACTGACCCCACTCGAGGGAAAACCTCGAAGGTCTCGCCCATAAGTTTTTCGAAGTTCCTGAAGTATGAAGAAGCCTACGCATAAGAATGCGCTTTACAAAAAGTAAGTGTACAAAGAATTTCCTTCATATTAACACCAAAAATTATTTAAATGAATACTGATGCTTCCAACTCAACGTCATCATTCATAATCAACAAGTAGTTCATTCGAAAAAAAAGTTTATTGAATGAAATTCAGTTCGCGGAACAAATTTATAATTTATCCGTTATTTCATAGCACGGTAAATACGTAGCAAATTTCTCCGGTTCAAACTAACTTGAACGATAGCTGCGGGAAGTATGCAGATGTGATGACTGTGTGAGGGAAGTTATTTGGACGAATTTCACTAAATAGCGTTTCATCGAGTTGATCGAATGAAGAATCAACTACGAGCCTTTAATAGACGTTTCTTATCAAACAACGAAAGATTGTGAATTCATTCTGTATGAAAGGTTGATAAAGTTTTTATAATTTTACTTGCTAGTTAACACAGCACCCTTTTCAACAAATGCTACAAATCATTGAACTGAAAGGAATTTTGCTGATGACTTTAACAGTTTCTACGTGCACACGCACCCGTTGGCGATCATGTAACTAACCTTCGTATTTGTGTAAAAAACAATGTTGCATTAATGAAGAATGTGAATCACGCAAACATTTCGCGCTAAAATTAAAAATTACATGAAGCGTGACGACACTCACCAATTTTTCAAAACAGTCCCTTGATAGCCCGAAATCCGCCTGCAAGACGCTCTGAATTCGTCAACTGGATGACGTTTAGGTAATGATTTGGTCATTTTCTGTAAACACCAACTTGAGTGATCAGTCACAATGATTTGCTCTACATAGTTAGTTGAATTATATACACATACGCTGAACTAAATGAGAATGATCGGATTCGACGATGATAACTTTTCAAAGCAGTTTACCTTGGAAAATTTAAACAGATATGAAAACTATGCATTTGAGGATGGAAACTCGAATTAATAACATTTTAAAACTAAAAAAAGAATGATTAATAGAAACGGATTTACAATGAAACGTGGCATTGCTATTGATGAAACGTTCTCGGCGCGAGCACAATCCTAAATTTGAAAACTTTCAGAAGCTGATGAATATCAATCGATGTAATTAGTTGGATACTAAATGGTGAAGAACAGGGAAAGATCAACTAGAAGTGTTTTTCTCGGCGGAAACAGTCAAATGAAGGCATCCGTAATAGTAAAAATGAGATCATTTCCTGGAAATTTCCAAAGGAAAAAGGTAACTAAAATAAAAGCATAAAGAGGAATGACGATATCAATTTATTACCGAAGCGATAACAGATGAAGAGATGCTACCCGTAGATCCATCACCATTACAAATTGAAGATACTTCATTTGGATGGAAAGATACGTGCCTATAAAAATATATACCTTTTAAAAAGAAACAAAACATAACTGCTATAATGCATGCACATATTACACACTACATCTACATACCAATGGGTAAGATGGTATATTCTTATTTGAATATTTACAGTGGACACATCCCACGTGCTTCGAAAATAACGTTAATCAAGTCTAAGCGAACTAACTTCTGCTTGGTGTTCGCTAAGTTGCTCGTTTTAAGTGATGACTTCTGAGAATTTTGCTTTGAACTTCTATTTCCACTATTTGTTGACTGGTCAATTTTTCGCACTTTCAAGAACGATTTATTCCTATACCGTAGACTCGCGGGTACAGATCGCTTTTGCCTAAATAAATTTGGATTGTAAACAACAAAAGAATACAACGAACGTTGCAGAAATCATCATTGTGTTTAAAAATGCCTCTCAAGGATTTAAAAAGAAACAAAGCAAGAATACATACATTCGAAAATTCAAAAACATAAAACTGAAGATTATGTTTGTACCATGATGTTTTAATTATATCATGTTAATAAGACTAATTTTCACAGCCAAAATCCAATCATATAGAAAAATAAAATCCGAATATCTAAGAAACAAACAACTGTGACGGTTGACTTTGTTGTGAATGATCTTTTGATTGCGACAGATCAGTTGTCATTGTTAGACCAACCTTAAGATGCAACTGATAAACATTCGGAAATTCAAAAATAACAGGCATGGGCAAACAACGAAATGTGTGTGATATAACTGATATAGACTAATGAACAGTGAGGCAAAACGTTAATAGTCTTCAGGCTATTTAAAAACTCGAAAAACGAGGAGGATTACTTATTTCACGAAGAACATCAAGCGTATAAATAACAACGACGAAAAAATAGGCGAAGTAAACCCAAATCAAAATTGTATAAGATTCGTTCTGGTATGAATATCGTTTTTTGCTATGGTGACCCCTGCAATTGGAAAGCATAAAGGGCAAAACGACGATAAATAAAGTGAGTAAAGTCAGCAAATAACATACATTGGTCGCAAAAGATTGCTGCTCCATGACAGTATTCATACATTGATTCCTCGACGATACTGGAACACTTTCAGCTGCACAAGAACTTGAACCTGATACCAATTCATCAACCAAACCATCATCTTCATTACTGTCTATATCCATCAATTGTTCAGCAGGAGTTCCTATTGTCTTCAATTTAGCTGCTTTCGTCTTCTTTATAGCCATACAGATTCTTTGCTTATTTCCTTCCCCATTCAATTCTTCCGGCATTGCTTAAATTTCATAAAACAACATTACTATTATCAGTAATATTTTATCACCGTTTGATACCAACGATTGCTGATCAATACGTATATACTAATAGATATATTAGCGTTGCTAATAGATATACTGGAAAAAGCACCAACTTCCTCGGAACAGTGCATTTATAAAGAGAACAATGCGCTACCTGAAGTTCTGAGAAAACTTTGCATTTCGAAATTATCGTGAAAATTAAAATTAAGACATAGAATTTNAAAAAAAATTAAAAACAAGTTTGAACAATGACTGAACTGACTAAACAGTCGTTTCCGCTTTCTTGGCAGATGAACTTTCGTAATGTCAAAAAAAAACAATGATGAGGGAATAATGAATGAGAATGCCAACTTACGCGGACTGAATGTTATTTTTCGACTAGATGTTGCTTGCTGATGACTAATTAACGCACAGGGAGGTTTGAATGGTGATCTTGAATGAGCAGGCAGGTTCTCAAGTAAATCATTCCTTAGCTTTGAGAAAGTAGATGAGACTGATGTGTCAGCAGATGATGGATTCTGCAGCTGAAAATTATTGGGTCAGTCAGTCAATCATTAAAGTTGCACGACACATTCACTGCCATTTGTGTGCCTATAAAAGAATAGAGATAACGACGAATCTATACAACTTCAAACATTTAAATCGATGGAAACTGGTGGCATACTAACGAGATGACTTCGGCAAATGGAATCAAAAATAACCTGAATGAAAGATGGCTGTTGATCGATAACCGTATTCATAGTATTACTATCGAATGATGGTCCTGATGCATGCGGAGTATCAGTACAATTACGAGCATTATTTTGCGCATCCATGGACTGTTCTCTTGCAACTCCGCCTGCATTTGATGTTTCACCACTGTTCAATTCCGCGTTATCTGAGAACAGATTCTTCCGGTCCTCTTCCTCATTCAATTCTTTTTCTCGTGATTTTGCTAGACATAAATCAAGTGAGCATATAATAACGTCAATTTTTTTTTTATCACTCAAATTTCAACTACCTGTGATGGTGTGACATATTGACTACAGTTGTTCAACGTGAATTGAACGAATTTCAACTGAGGAAAACGGAGTGACTAATAAAAAAGAAATGAAATAATACATCTTACTCTGAAGTCATTAACGCACCAAGTCATTAGCATAATAGTGAGATTAACTGTTGAATGTCAAAAAAACATGCACATGAAACTTATGAAGATCAAATTCTGTTTCATACTCACCAAATGAAGTGGAGCGCCGGACTGACTCAGTGGTTTGAGTAGTTATTCGACTGCATTGTTCGGAAATGAAGTTCGAGGTTGATGGAACGTTCTCAGACAGATCCTTCCCACGTTTCCATATCTAAATGAATCATTCAATTCTTCATTGAAGTCCCATATTCACATCACTAACTCAAACTGAATACACTCATTGCGATACATACATATTCATCCACCATCGTTTGTGGATATCAGCTGATTGATTCTCTCCAACGTTCCTACTATTTCGCGTGCAGAATTTCTTCTTGCTTAACGGTTTATACCGAACGCAATGCAAATTTACACCGTGAAACTACTAAAAATCACGATTTACAAATCATTTAGTCACCTTGCTTTCTGATTCTTTTTTTTCCACATTTTCTTCCCATTGATTCCAAACACTTTTTTCCGACCCATTCACACGACTCTCAGTCTTCTTTGCTTTTGCCCGGTATTTTGATTCCAGTCGTCTCAGTCTGTTCCGCTTTTTCATCTTTAAAATGAATTATTTTTAAAAACAGGTTAAAGCAATTAGTGAAAAGAAGATATCCATAAAGAAAGCAAATAACCAGTGCAGATCTTGCAAGACAGGGACTTGGTATTTCAATGATAGAAACCTTCTCACTTGCTCAAATTGTCAAATCTCATGAATCTAAGCGTTGAATGGCAATGAAAAGGATCTACCAACAAGAAAACGATAGCAGCGACTGATGTCATCGGAAATGGAAAAATGCGTGAAGCGATAAAGCAATAAATAACTTGAAGAGCTATGCTAACCTTTTTGATTTGTTCTGATGGAAGCTTACGAATACCATTTGCAGAAATCGTATTATCGGAACCAGATACTAACCGTTTAACATCCTCCATTAATTGTTTGATTACATTCATACAGCGCGAAAAGCATTGATATTTTACATCATCATGACAAAACACTTTTCCAGTATTTAATATGAATCGATTAATACACACCGATTCTGCAAATATTTTCGTTTCATTTGCTTCATTCTGATGCGTACTTTTGAACATAGCAACAACTGGACCTGTTCATATGAGAAATGATTTTTTGTTTACGTCAACTGTATGGAAAATCATTACAATATGGTTTGACAGAAATTTTGATTACATTTACACCATGTTAAAAATATGATCAAGCATTTCTTTCATTCATATTCCAATTATAAAAACCCATATATTTCACTTCATTTGCTATCAACTTCAATCAGTCAACTTGTGATATATGAATCTGAATTGAAAAGTGCATCTTTTATGACAATTTTTTAAATCTACCTTTCCTAATGACTGCTTCGTTGAGCTTCTTCAAAGCAGTCGACACTGAAATTGAAATAGTATCCAATGCTTTTGCTAAATCTCCTTCGCCACTTTTCTCCAAAGAGCTGATCATGCCAGAGACCATTTCAAATATGTGACCTGAAATGCAGAATAAGCCTGCATTAAGTGCAATCACTTTTTTAAACATCTCTCACATCTCCTTCGACGAAATTTGATATCGTTTCATTCACTGACACATGAATTAGTACGTCAGCTGTCGTAATATGAAAATGCGTTTGATATCAACAACGATTTTGATTTTTTCGAGTTATAACATTATTCGGATAATCGATGAGGCAGGATGACCGATCAGAATAAAGCTTTCAATTTCATGCATTCCTTTCAAAAATAAACTAACTCGAGCTTAGCTGCACCAGTTGAGACACTTCTGATGACGCCACACTAATTTGGTTCTTTTGCTTGATCACTGTTTCATCTTCCGCTGGATCACTGAAGAAATTACCAATATAATCACAGTTCAAAGATACATGAGAACACTTTTTCTTGTCGTGTTTTGAGTAACTGTACATGAACATATTTTGTTTGAGTAATTACCGATGCCACTTATGATTCATATGACACCTCACTGAAGATTGTTGAATACCAGTTTGGTTTCTTACAAACACAGATAAACACTTGACACAAATCCTCAAAAAATACCAATCAATCAAAAGCAACCGCGATTCTGAACGTAAACCGAAATAAAGAATCGACTCACTTCTGATTCGCTTCTGCTTCATCAATTTCCAGATCACTGTCATTCCCTAGCAAATCACGAAAAGATAACATTCCTTCTGAAACAATCCTCTTCAGTCCAATCGTTTTTCTACGAAGTGCTCTTTCAATGTATCGATTTAAGCGTGTCTGATATGAAAGATCTGAAAGCTGTGACAGTGTTATATACCGGAAGCTTTTCGTTTTTTTTAATGCGCTAACAAGCGTAGATGGTAGTCATGCAGGTGACCGACTCCAGGTTGTTCCGATGAACAAGAGTACGGGAAAAAATTCATCTCCGTACTCTCGGCTTACGAAGAAAACCGACAATCGACCACTCGCATTTGAGTCGCTTTGAACATAGCAGTTGGGGCATTTTTTTAAACTGTGGATCTAGAACATTTGATGACCGCACATTTATTTTTCCTGTTTTGCAATGACTGGTGAGCCCTTGCATGGTGTTTGGAGAGGAGAGACGAGAACTGGGTTATTAAGTAACACCGAACTATCAAATCAAGAATTTATACCGTTGAAAATAAAAATGACATTGGTACACCACTCGGTTTTGAGCAATACTTGGTTGCTGAGTCTGAGCGGGGCTACGATTTGGCTTGTATCTAATTATTTCTTTACTATTGAATGTGATCAAATGTGATCAATGTGATCAAAATGCAAGATAACGGACCATCATGTGAGATTTTGAACGGGATAGTGACACTTCGCCAAGTACGAACGGACTGACAGTTCGCCAAGTGACGGAAGTGGGATTTTCATTTGATATATGTTCAGAAATGTGAATTTCTTACCTATTCAACGGTAATAAATCCGGGTAAATCATATATCATTTTGTAGCGCACATCCAGGACAAGAAAACTTAACTGATAGATTTACCAGTGATCGACATCTGCTTGAGATTTTCGATTTCGCCTTAAGGGCAAAAATGCAACAGATACTTTCAATTGATACCCACCCGACAGGAAAAATTTTAAATCACGATATATACCATGTTGTAGCCGAGATTGAGTACAACAGAAATCTGTTTTAGATTCTGTCGCCAGTTGTTAAGTCAAGCGAGTTATGACGCTCGGCGTGAGCAATGGTGATGCTCAGTGATAACAATTGGCATGCATATAGTACTCTCTCACTGACTATAAATATAAACCGTCTTATTATTTATAATAACAGATATGTTTTTATACAAACCGTCTTATTATTTATAATAACAGTGTACACTTTTAAAAAGTAATAAAAATTGAAATTGAATTTATAGTAAAATTCGCAGTGATGAAATCAAGAAATCGCATGGTGTGATAAAACAGTGAAATCCAAATCCAAATGAAACACAAACGACAAAATACTGAATTCATATAAAAACTGTTTCGATCTCTTCAATGCTAAATTCAACTGGAAGCTCATACTGAGGTCATACAATACGAAAAGCTACAAAAAAAATCCAATTCAGAGTAACAATGATGAAATCAAAAAATCGCATGGTGTGATGAAACACTGGAAAGAATCTCATTCTTTCATAAATCTCAGACATTTCTTTTCGAACATCAACATCAGGTTTGAGGTCACGGATATATGGCCCCTGTTTCATCTTGCGGCGTTGCAGGTTTTTGATTCCAGCGTTGAAAATAGTGAAACAGATTTTACTTGAACTCAGCAATTTGTTTGTCGTTTGTATTTCATTATCGAATCATTGCATTCCACTGTTTCATCATACCGTGCGATTTTTTGATTTCATTTATCTTCTTCAATTGGATGTTTCCCTTTCTGTTTATTTCTGCAAGGATATTATTGTTGAAATGAATAGTAGTCAATCTCAAAGTTCACCCGTGTTACATTTTCAGAAGAGTATCGGTTGGTTTATAGTCGGTTTATATTTATAGTCAGTGAGAGAGTACTATATGCATGCCAATTGTTATCACTGAGCATCACCATTGCTCACGCCGAGCGTCATAACTCGCTTGACTTAACAACTGGCGACAGAATCTAAAACAGATTTCTGTTGTACTCAATCTCGGCTACAACATGGTATATATCGTGATTTAAAATTTTTCCTGTCGGGTGGGTATCAATTGAAAGTATCTGTTGCATTTTTGCCCTTAAGGCGAAATTGAAAATCTCAAGCAGATGTCGATCACTGGTAAATCTATCAGCTGTGTTTTGTTGTCCTGGATATGCGCTTCAAAATGATATATGATTTACCCGAATTTATTCCCGTTGAGTAGGTAAGAAATTCACATTTCTGAACATATATCAAACGAAAATCCCACTTCCGTCACTTGGCGAACTGTCAGTCCGTTCGTACTTGGCGAAGTGTGTGTATACCTTTTGAACGAACGAACAGTTCGTTATTGGAGTTATTCAGTACGAAATTATGAATTTCGTTTGCAGCACAAAGTACATACAAATGACACTCTATCATAGAACGTTCTAAGACCTATTTTTATGGTTCATCCTCTTTTTGTGCAAGAATGTTGTCGCTCGATCGTCTGGGTGTGAATCATACTCAGTCTCCGCTTTATAATTACCCAATTGAAAAAATATTGCGGCGATATTTCATAGTAAATGTGAACCTTGCTAATAGGTCGTCAAAATAATATTGAAAGAAGAGAAATATCTATAAATCATCACCTGTCTAATTTCAATGTTTAATTCTTTCAAATTCGGATCTGTCAAAGTAACTGTAATAAAATTTTTGAACCTCAAAGGCTAAATAGAAATTGCAAAGGGTAGTGTCAGCTTTTGTGATTCATTACTCGGAAATTTTAATGTTTTCTTCCGTTGAGTGAATTTGCCAAGAATGCGCCCTAAATGGCATTACTCTGTTTCATCGTTTTATTAACTGAATCGATTCATTCGTTATAATTTAATGCACCAATAAAATACAATTCGGTTATGTTTTGGAAAGTTGGAAAGAGGATAGGAATGAACTTGGAGACAACTTTTATCAGACTGCGTGGCCTTCCCTTTGCCGCTAAAGAAGCGGATGTTCGTGAGTTTCTGCAAGGTACTTTTTACGTCGCTTCTTTCAGATAAGAGTATTATTACTTTAATTTGATGCTAGTACTGAGATGAGAAACGGAAAGAGAGGTTTGCGAGGGCGTGATAATGCCCAACGATGAAAGATGACTCCAGCAACGTACAATGCCTCCATTTATTGTGAGAAGCGTGACAAAAATACTCCTCCAACCAATTTCTCATATAAATGTTCCTATTGTTCAAAATTTATGAGCAAAAAACTGATGAAGAATGTGTGTAATGGGATATCATTGTTTAGTTCTTCTGGTTTTATCCAAATTACTGTAGTAAAATGAGGATAATTTGTTTCGTTTTCTGGAGAATGTAATTGATTATCATTGTTACTATGATTGGTGTCCATCAGAGGTAGGGATTAGCCCTAATTAGTGAATAGTGCGCCGTCAGGTTATTATCGTTATTATTGAAGGGATCGCAGCAGAGTCGATAACATTTACACTGACCCCATCAGGACGTGCAAGTGGCGAGTGCTATGTTGAATTAGGTGACGTTGATGACGTTAAAGAAGCACTCAAACTGGACAGAAACGAAATCAGCGGACGATATATTGAAGGTTGCTTGTTATCGTTTTTCATTTGTGCTTGATAATGTATTATGCAATTGAAGTGTTCGCGGTGCCTCAAAGTGAGTTATCAATGATGATTCACCATGGTATCATTCGAAGAAAAGGTGAACCCGAAAGTAGGTACGCAAGTAATTTTGTGGTTCGTCTCAGAGGACTTCCTTATAGCGCTACTGTCGATGATATCAAAAGTTTCTTCAAAGGTACTCTACTTTCATCATTATCGTCTCATTCACCTATAGTGAACAATACATTATCTACTATTATGCCATGTTACAATATCCTCAATGTCTGTGCAATATAATATAATTTTCATTGTTATATTGTATCCATTATTGATATAATATATAACAAGATTAATTTAGATGTTATAATAATATACTAAATGAAATAAAATCAATCTGCGATGGTAAGCGAATTGAATACTCAAATAAAAACGATGAATGAATCCCACCATATCAGAAAAGAAAACAAGTAGAGGTAGGTAGTGAATAGATGTAGGTAGATAAGTGGTTTGGTGTGGTATGAATATAATATAACTGGGCACGACTATATAGGGTTGGATGTATGTGACGTTGTAATCGACAAGGAGCAGGGGGGTCGTCCTTCAGGGGAGGCTTTCGTTCGGTTGGCAACCAAAGAACATGCTGAACTGGCTCTCGAAAGGAGCAGAAACAACATGGGCACGAGGTATGGGCTTGGTTTTTAGGGGATTATTAGATTCATGTCGCATTGATTCATTCCATTATCATTACCAGTGTCACTACTATTGTTGATTATAACACATATCAGTACTCATGTGATGCTCCACTGATTGAATGTAATATTTTATTGTCGTGTGTGCTTGTTGCCTTATTTTGATATTCTCCTCATTTTGATTGCAATAACATTGTGGTGCAGTAGTTCTCTTCTATTTATTCGCACAGTTATATATTATTCAGGTGTGTTCTATGAGATAGTCTATTCGAATTGAATTTTATACATCACAGTTCATTTAATAATAAACAAAACTGATGTCTTCGTCATGCACATAGTTTATTTTTTATACTGAGATGACAAATCCAAATCCATTGAAAGAATGTATCAACATTATTTCAGGTGCTGTGACGATTATGCTACTTATGTTCATTAATCATATGGATTAATGAAATTCAGATTTAGGTTATGTTACTTATGATCAATGAATTAAATTAATTCAGATATATTGAAGTATTTCGAAGTTCGGATGAAGAGATGGACAATAGTTATTATACGTCACGAGGAATACCTCCACCACTGAGTGGTCCAGTTCCATTGCGTGGTCTCAATCTTGCTCCTGAACTTCGTTATGGGTAACTATTTCATTTTATTTTCAAAGCATGATGTTTTTTAATTTGTGCGATTCACTTGATTTTAAATAAGTCTCGTGACCGTGTTGAGTGCAGATGTTATTGACAGGCGATATTCGTAGTACGTTCTCTGAGAAGCGACCATAAAAGCTGAACTAGTACTAAGACTGGCTCATAAGAATAAATGATTAATGAATACAGTGGCGGTTATATGAATCGTTTCGGTGGAGCGCTGCTGCGGGGTGGAATGAATTACGTTCGACATTCGCCGTACGACCGTCGTTATGCACATCATCGATACGAACCGAATGATTTCGATGAGTTCGATTACGATGCTGCTGCTAAAGTTTATATGCGAGGTTGTTGTTATCATTGTATTAACATTAACGCATTGTTTGTCTGTATGAATAAACGAATGTGCAATTAAGGATTACCTTATAACGTCACTGCAATCGATATCGAGCAATTTTTTAAGCCATTGAATTGTGTTGAAATAAAGCTCGGTTATAATGACGACCGAAGATTGTCCGGCGATGGCATTGTTTTATTCTCTACGATGGCTGAAGCACACGATGCTCTCTCAAGAAATAAGAATAACATTGGATCGAGGTATCACCAATACTGTTATTGTCATTGTTGCTATTTTTATTGTTAATGCAAAATTATATAAAAAGTCGACAACTTCAAATGAATCGAATTGCAGATATATTGAGCTGTTCCCAGGTACAAGTGTACCTTATCCAACCAAGTACACTACATTCCGATTGGTTGGAGGCACGGGTCCATCAGGCCGTGGTCCCTTCGGACGTTATACTTCATTTGCAGATGGTTTCGTTTATTGTCATTCTCTTACTTTCGTTCAGTTTTGCATATTGTATGTATTTATAATAGACGAGCGTTTGGTTCATTTTGAAAAAAATTCGTGGATTATTTTGGTCAGTTTCGTTTTGCGTTCGAAAATGTGTATATAAATCTATGTATGAATAAATTGAATTTTACAGACGATGACTACGTTGGATACGGTTTCGGCGGTCAACAGGTATATTTATTTTCCGTTGACTCTTTATTTTCATTGATAGTATCAATTCTTAGCAGTCAGAATGACCGTTCAAGAGCACATGCGGCGTTGGAGTACATCACTTCTCGTGAAAATGTTTTTCTTAGCAGCCTTCCTTTGTATCATTCTCATTCGTTGTCGTCAACTTAAGAAATTTGCTCTATCTAATCCAGAAGTAGTATTGCTCAAGTGAATCCTGTAGAGAGAAGGATTAAACGAAACCAAAGAAATGTTGCGCTTAAGAAAAATCGACACTATTTGTGTTGTACGAATGTCGTCGACGTTCATCTCAACAACATTTAATCAGAATAAGGGATGTTGGATTTCTTGGGATGATGATTTTGGATTTACAATTATTGTTGTTGTGTCATTGCTATGCAACAGTAATAATTGTATATGAGTGGAGAATTAACGAAAATTTTTTAGTTTTATAACGATCAGTATGAAGGTCGACAGTCGCGATACAGCGCTCGTGAATGGGGTGAGCCAGCACGTAGCGGTCCGATGTGGTAGATCCATAATAGTAGTAAAATGCCAAACGGTTCATTGTTGATCTAAATTTTGTTTTTATCTCTACTAGTTCATTAATATATGTGCATTTTCTTATAATATGGTTGGAAAATTTCATTTGTGCGTTGGATCTACTCACGATCAGATGTATTGTTTTGTTGGATTTTATGATTTCAAAGAATTTTTACTCATTTCTCCGTTACTATTCTTACTCAAAGAACCGATGACTTTGTGTGTAGAAAGTGGAATATTAACAAAGACATAATGATTTGTTGTTTTTGAAAAAAAAAAAACTTGACAATTCGTTGTTATACTGTTGTTAAATGCAACCTTTCTATAGTGTTCTTATGGGTTGTGAAAATTATATTGTGTTCAGTTTTGATCATTTGTTAATCATAATACTCTTTGTTACTTTTACATTGCTGTCAAATTATCTCTTATTCATATTCCTGTTAACAGTTTTGTTTGTTTGTTCCGTGTATTCTGAAATAAACTTCAACACATTGCCACTGTCGAAAAAGATGCGTTTATAAAAATATACATTCGTACTTCTCCCCATTTCATAGTCATATTTTTCCAAAAAAAAAGAAAAAACGACCACGAAATGAGAAATGAATCTCGTTTCCGTTACTCGCTCAAAAACTACTAGAAATTGAAATGCACCTCGTCGAAATCGAAATAAAAACTATTTGTCGGGCAGTGTAGTTTAGTAAGATATCTTTTCAAATCTTTAAAGAACATGAAAGCATCAGCAAGCTTCTTAAATACGATCTGAATATGTAATAATAGTAATAACTCTAAATAAACCATATGAATACAAACCATAAAACATGAAAGTGAATCCGTAAAGAAAATTGACGAAATACGCATTTAGTGAGGTAATTTTTAACAGTTCAAAATCAGTTGTAAATTGTTCTGAACAACTTCATACTCCAACTCATGAGTCTAAATTGCACGAAAATGTAAGCCTACAATGTTGTTTTCGCCTTTCATTTCCCGACGAATCTGTAATGGTGAGCGTGGATGAGATCTGTATTTAGAAAAACAAGAATACAGCAATCCACAATTTCAATTTTAATTTTCCATTGGCACTTATATTCAGCCATATCAAAGAATACAGCAATTAGTTGTACATTATTCTACGCAGTGAATACACCAAAACATATAAACTCATCTAATTTACGATGAAACAATAAATTATAAAATGTATGTATACATGTGCAAATCAAAACGACCGTTGCTACTATCAGGTTGACGTATCTTTGGACGGTGGTGTGTTGGCTTTATGACTATTACTTCGGGTTCCATTCGGTTTTCTATCACTGCTATCGGATCCAATTCGTGGTTTAAACTCAATTATTGTTGCAGTGACGCCTTTTATCGTTATCAAATGCTTCTTCGCTGACGATCGAATAATTAACGAATCTCTCAAGGGAACCACCTGAATTTTTTGTTCATTATAGCTGCAGTTTCATTCATCGCTCCTCAACGAAAACGGTTCATGACACTCAGCTTTACGTTCTGATATGATAATAAAACTGCTGAAGTCTGTTACAAGATATGACTGACGATGGCACCAACGATATACCATAAATCGATGCCCAACCTTTCTATTACTACTTTTGCTACGTGTCGCTGTTTTAGTGACTGCTGAACCTGATGAGGTGCTTTCGGGCGAATGGCGTGAATTCGATGAGGAATTGACCAGCGGACGGCCTATCTTACGCCTGCAATGTGGATCTTTTTAATTACACTGCAAAACTTCCGTGGAACTAATCATTCGGAACGAACTCAAACAACAGCAACAGCAGTCTCCTCCCAGATTGCAAGTTCGCAGCTCTGAGTGCAGACCCACAACTCAGCTTGATTTCAAAAGATAACTAGTCAATAAACTGAAAGTATCAGTTCTTTCGCAATTTCAGTAGTGAGTACCTAAACAATTGTTTCAGTGAACATTACCGTGGTTTTTCAGCCAAACTTTGCTGCACAACGAAATTCTGAACAACAGTATGATGCTGTACCACATTCTGATTCAACCGAGGCTTTCTTGTAGAAGTACCTTTCCTATAAGCAAATACCACTTTTCACTACTGCATTAGAATATTACATAAACAGCTGAATAGCATCGTGAACAGTTAACAATAAACTAAGTTGAGTGCCGTGCAAAAGCATTAACCTTGTATCACACATTTCACATTTGAATGCTTCAATTCGATTTCTGAATGTGCAAACTGTACACTCCCAACTACTTGGATCGAAGTCATCCTCATTCTTAACTCGACTTCGTTTCTTGTTCGACATCGCCACTCTGATCACTTAAACATAAATCATTAACTTTACATTCAAACTTTACTACAACATAAACAGTTTGAGCGTAACTCTGAAACAAACAAAATCATGCGATCTAATCATTATTAGAGAATGAAATTCAGCTATTTCACCAAGCCCTGCTCAAAACATCTTCAGCTCTGAAATTAAAAAGCAAAAGATTAAAACTCAACAAAGTTTCATTCCCGAAAAGCAGCAGTAAGAATTAAATCTGAAGACGTCGTCGCACTTCACTATGCAAACGCTCCTGAGGTTGGGGTAAAAGAAGCCAAATTGCACTTTCGTACGCGCGCGGGCCCGAATGTTCAAAGGTAAGAGAAGGAGAGGAAAACGCTTCGTAAAAGCGCACAAAACGAACGGAATGAATGTAGCCGTGAAACCTAATAACGAGAAATCGCCGTAGCACAACCTTCGCGTTTGATTCCAGATTGAATTCTCTACAAGCACAGAAGGTTTCAGGAAAATTCATCATTTAGTTTTCGAGATTGTAACTTAAAAAGAACCTTCATGAGGAGAAATAATGCCTTTGCAAGCGATTGAAATGGAAAAAGTGCTACCGATGCAAACGACCAATTTGAACAATAATTCATTATCATAGCTCACAACTGGCTCATTCATCAGTTTAAAAAAACGTCACAAGTAAATGTCGTAAGCAATAATGCACATGCTTCAGAGCCAAAAATTTTCTCAGTCGAACTTAAAACCTGCATGATGATTTTCTCCGAGACCGGAGTTAAACGAATTTCGGAGTTATAGCCGGCGCTGTAGCCAAAAATTTGGAGAAAGAGGAGATGAAATTTTAGAATTCCTAAGTTGGAGGTGGAGATGAATTTTTTTGGAAAGGTTAGCCAGAGCTGGGGCTAGAGGAAGTTTCAGAGTTACGGAGCTAGGTCTTTTTTTTTTTCAAATTTGGTCATCACTGGTCAACGGTCAACTTTTCTCTAAAACTATAATAATGAAGAGAGATCAGAATAAATGTTGTACCAATAATAAGGACAATGTAAAATTAATTTTGACTTTCGAAAGCACACATTGTGCAATGATCTGCCTTTCCAGTTCACATTCTTCCATAATTCAACAACTCATTCAGTAGCACTGACTACTCCAAGGTGCAGGTCGCGATGATGCATCAATCAGATTTGTTATCCCCTTACGATGACTTCTCGTCCTTCTCCGATGGAAATATCTGAATGCTCTATGGCAGATACCCGGGGCTTACCATGATCGAAAAATGCTTCGGAAACTTCAAAAAGTTGTATTTCCCAAGGTACAAATAAACAGTGAGGGCTGCCACGGGGAGTTCCATTCGAGGATTCCCCCTCTTGCAAGAGGAACCCTATTCCGAACACTAACAGAGGTTTTTTGTTTCATTTTGTCGAAGTAAATGGCTTGCGACAAGATATGCCTACACTTCAACAGTGCAAGGCAGCCTACAAATGAATTGAGTGGCGTGGTGTCCCGCAAATTTTGAGTGATAATGACAGAGGTAATGTGGATGGAGCCACAGCCGATATCATAGTATAGGATCTTAACGCTCGCAAACAGCTTTCTTTCAACATTCGCGTCATTTTCTTTGTAAGCTTGTCCTTATCTAGAATTTGTTTCATCTAAATCTCGCACACATTCATCTACCTCAGCAAGCACTCGCTCAAAATTGTGAGTGAGTAAATTAACCAAAAGGTTGAACTGCGCATTGAGTCGAAGTCCGAGCTCTAGTGAGCTTCAACCCAAACCTGAAGTGATTCCAGCTGAAGATCGGGTAAATCGGCACTAGGTCTGGAATGAGCTTGGGCGTAAATCTAAACCTGAATCGTAGCTTAAGCCTAATCCCTAGGTGATGAGTTTAGGGTGGAAAATGAGAGCGATATCCTTGCTTAGCTCAGTTGTGTTCAGGGTTTCTGCTAAATTCTCTTCATTGTAGTGTGGGTGATGAAGTTGCGTTCTTACTAGGAAGCAGAGCTCACGCTACCCTCCGTTGGATTTCGGGACCATTTTCGGGATACTGCTCTCTTCCCCTCGTTCACGGCAGAACGGAATCTCTTATTGACTTCAATATGCTGGATGAACGGTTCCTTTCTTCCCTACATGCTAAACTTTTTATCAAACAGGGATTTTTTTCATTACTAAATAAACCGCTCAACAACTTGGTGTTTTGAAATTACTTTTTGAGCATTCAAGGCTCGAACGACTTTTCCCAGTCCTGGTGGACATCAGAATTGTGTAACAAAACTATTTACCTAACGCCGAATCGTTGTGTACGATTCGCAGGTTATTTGAGTATCTTGCTTAATTTCAGTGACCAGTGATAAGAGAAACACCAATTCCATGGCATCCATATGAAGAAATATTGACGATTAACTCACAGTTTCTGATATTACAGTTTAAAATGGTTTAAATCCAAAAATAACTTGAATTGATACAATCAAAACGTTATTCTGTCGTGATGTCGGTAGTTTTATTGGTTATGAATCAATACAAAATACTGTAATGTAATGTTTTAAAAGAATGTTCATTCTGTATGGAAACTTTATTAATAGGTAAAAATTTGTATGCGAAGAGTTTCGCAAATGAAATGAGAAAGAATGTTCTGCGTTTAAAGTGCAAAACATGAACGAATTGAATTGAGTATTAGCGAAAGACACATTGGAGTATGCATGCATTGTGTTTCATTAAAATCGTTTCTTGAAAATGTTTAACCTTTTCAAGGTTATATTCATTTCTCTTTCATACTTTCTTCTCATTCCGAAAATTTTGTTGTTATTTTTTAATTTTCAATACCTCCTCTATAACCTGATTTTTGCGAAGCACTTATAAATTTATGCATTCATAGATGTTATACGTATGTACGTATACCATAACCATTATACTTCATAAGATTAACTTTTATTTTATACGTATTATATTATAGTATAGAACCTTGTGAAAACCCGTTATAACACATTTAGAGTTTAATATTTTATTGCAGTTGACAAGACAAAGTACATCGCTAGTGGTGTTATTAATTGGTTCATTTCACTTTGCCGATGACACAATATTCATTCTCGCCGAATTATTAATCCATTGCAAAGGCATTCTGTTCGATTCGTTATCTTATTCAACTTATTTTTCAGTTACTGCCCGCTGATCTCCTCGATTTCAATTTTATGCAGAACTCTGATCCAATCTGTACACGAGTTTGCAATCGTATTGGCTGTGCAAATCCCAGATCAAGTTTTCAACGTGATGAAATTATGAACTTTCGAACAGTTTGAAAATGAACGAAACTTGTGCTGAGCTGAAACACGTCAGTGAGTCGTGATTCTTAGGCTTTTTAATTGAGCCATGCTTTTTGATTGATATCGTATAATGTGGTGTATAGTGATGACATTCATCAAATAAATGCTCAAGTGTTCATTATAAGCGCATCAAGATAGCTTCATAAAAGCTCAGCGATGAAATCAAATAACAAAGCACACACACAATTGCGTAATAATGTGAAGGAAGATAATCAGAAACAGTATTTATATTCTGATCACTTAACATTCACAATTCAACGATCTGCTATTATTCGTGGCTTTTAAGTCAACAAAAACACGTTCACGTAAAGTGCAAATAGTCATCGGGCTTACTGCCAAAGCACCACTCACATTATTAACACTAATTGCGAGTGGAAAGAGTGATTTATTCTTGATTGCACTGAATAGCTCTGAATATCATTGATGAGTTTGAACAACAGGTAAAAGTTGAAAGATGAACGAATAAAGAGTTTGGACAAAGGTGAATAAAACAAAAATCGAAAAAAAAGAAACAAGTAAAAGGCTTAGAAAAACGTGTGATGATTATTAGTATAGGCGGTGTTATGGGCAAAAACCAGTTTTGTGAGTATTTGTTATGCACACAAACAGCCCGATTGACCAGTTTGGAACGTTTGTGTCCCTCGTTTGGTGTTTGCCTCATCACAAAATTACAGTCGAACACACAAATTCAGTCAAACAGTCCGTCTCATTCAGTCATCATCCTCATCATCAACACCACCACCACCAAATATACAATCATCCACAGCAGCAGCACTCACTCCATATTGCAACTACTATTAATATCATCTTATGTTCGCAATAATATTCATAATACCTCATCGATAATGCAGTCAACTTCCTCATCACATTCCACAATGCCCACTGCACATATCTCCTTCCTAGACACTGACTCCAAATCGATCCTTAATGCGATCAATCTACGTCTCAACGATATCGACCTCAAACTGTCATTTGTTCTCGAACTTCTTGCGAATCGATTACCTCACAACACACCGACAACCACCACAATCCCTCCCACTAATCTCACAACTCCAACCAATACGACTTCTTCATTTCCGATATCCCTGAACAGCACCACCACCCAAATGTTACCCGTTATTACATCACAAACAATCGACTGTTCCGATTACTCATCACTGCTACCACAATCACTTCCTTCTGCCAACCAACACCAAACCCCACCCACCTCGATGCCCTCGGGCATTTCGGAGAAAATTGATGAGATTAAAGCTGAAACGTCGTCGTCGAGAAGTGACAATATAAAAGATGAAAGCGATGGCGAAGAGGAAGAAATTGATGATTTTGAAGATGATCTCGGAGAGGTTCGTTTATTAGTTGCATTTTAATTATTCATTTTCAGTAGAGTCTATTGTTTATTGTTCTGTTCTTCGATTACATTCTCTCACTTGAAAATGCCATCTCTTCTGCAATAACAAAACCACTGAATACCTTTTCAGTTCAGTATATCACTATTAATCTAATATGATTATTTTCAAACTTAAATCTTATGCTTTTACCCGCTCAAATATATACACTTTTACCATAACATTTATCTTTCTATCGATCTATCAAATGAATGAAATGAAAAAAAATACTGAATCGTGAAATCAAATGATTTTGATATAGCAGTAAAATATCATTTAGATGATATATACATATAAGAACATGAATATTTTTGTTCAATTAAGAGAATGCTGACAGTTCCGTATGTAACACATTATTTGACTCGATTCATAAACTATAATACAAACATTTTACAAAAATACGATATCAACAGTTTACATGTGCAATAACTACATAACTAACCATTATATTTGCATAAACTTTTGCGTAGTGAATACACTCGCATTAACGAAATTCAAAAGAATTAATGTTTTTATACAAAATTTCCTCATTCATTTTCAATCTATTTATAATAATGTCAATAAACCAGCATTATCAACTTTCTTCGCAGTTCACTTATATTCATTCATATGTCACTAGAATTTTCCATTTAATATTTTAACATTCTGACATATACAGCTTTAACCATATTCAAATGAGGCGTTTCCAACGAATCATTTATTAATACCCTTTATCAATTGTTACATTTTTAAGGAGGAATCGCAGGAAAGGGAAGCTAAAATACTGCATGCTCAGGGAAGTTTTCCAGAGGGTGCCGTCAGGAGGGCGGCCGAAAAGGCTGCACGAAGTTTTCAAAGTACACAACCGAAGGTATGCACTTTTATTAACAATAACTTTCGTAATAACTTCCTAATAGAAATATCAGCTGTGTATAGTAATACCTGAATTTATCAATTGAATTTACTTTGTGGTGATATTTGTTTCGAACGTGTCATCTGCTATCATTGTTCCATTTCATTCTACAATCTGAACTCCGGATGGTGGAAGTGAAAGGGGCATTTTGCTGTGAATATGGATGAATCAATTTGCAATGAAAATGATGAACTTTAAGGTATTTGCATGGCAAATATTACGCGAGTCAGTAACAGACGATGAACTCAGGAATGTTCAGATATCGCTGAGAACATTTCACGGCGAAACTGCATCTCATTTACTCTCAAGACAGTTACCGAAAGTAATTTTATTTGCAACATTAAATAAATGAATAGAAATCGCATTGCTGAATGCAGCAGTGCGACCACAATCTATCAAATTCTATCTTTGAATAATCCTAAAGCCAATTACCAGTTAATACCGATATTATTTATTCACTGAACTGATCAGTTAAACTTGAACAATATCATTATAATTTTGTGAAATGTTGTTTGTAGACTGAATTCAACATAAAATGACCGAAATAGGGCATGACACGATCACTCATCACGAGTAACAGTGCAATCGCTGTTTTAAGAGCCCATTCCATCTTGAAATGGATCTTATTATCCAGGATCTAGTGATGCATTTTCTGAGATGAACTCTTGAAGTTTATTTATCATGAAATCAACTGAAAAGTTTAGATCCGCACGAACCGTTCACAGAAATGTGCATATATTCGGAATGCGAATTGTTTCTTAATCAGACCACTTCTCATTCAACACATACTTACTTATTTGGAAGTTTAGTGTGAACGGAAAATATGTACAATAAATAAAAATTCAGATTCGATTGGTGGTTGAAGCAACAATGTCATACTTTAAATGGGACCATTTGAACGACGAAAATCAACTGACGAAGGCAAAACTTCTTTTGAGTCATCTCAAAAATAATGCGAAAGTGAGAAATTGGACTCTACGAGAAGGACGACCAAACAGGTTCATTATTAATTTTTTTTTATTATTAATTTCATTATTAATTTTTTTAAATTTTTGAAACGCAGTCATGAAGTCGTGCATATCGCAAGTGAATCACTTCCAGCAGGACTGTATCGATGCCCATTTATCGATACGAATGTACTGAATAAAATCATATTCGCTTGTGATTTGAACATAGATAATGACTGCACAACGAAATGAAATGAAAGTATGTTTCATGAGAGACTGCTGGTAGTTCTTGATAATTACATGAACTGATTGCGTTACTGACCGACTGATTTGTTCGTAAATAATCTTTAGAACAACGAATAATATGGAAATGGTATGGAAACGATACGCAGCATTATTAGGACCAGGCGGGCTAGCAGCTGTTGGTTTGCTACCAAATCAAGTGAATCAACTCAATAGATAATTGTTGTTTTGGCTGTAAAATCGCTGTTGTGTATGGGTCGTTCGTTAGACTATGTGCACAAAACAGTGACCAAATTTTCCGGTGAAATTCGTCCTGAGTACAGGCAATTGTGTAGTGCTCTTCCAGCTTGCAGCATTTTCCAATGCATATGAAGTACCACTCTTATATGTTCACACTGTGACAACCCAAAATTCATGAGTACTCTCTTTCAACGTGCTCAAACGTCATTAATGATAACCGTCGAATGCAAAATGAAGAATTTAGGGAATTGCAAAGTAATATTTTCTCATATGTCTCATCGAAATTTGACACAATTTCGGAAATACGGCCCGCAATATTCTATAATGAAATCGAAGTTTTTGAGGAATACAGAGTTTATGCGCACTTTTTCTTGGAGAATTAATGAAACTCTTTAAAACGCATGAAAAATAAAACTGTGTTGAATACTTTTAAAAAATGAATAAAACCGAAAATGAGGCGGCATTTACTGTACCAGGAATTTTTTTCAAGTATTTTTTCAATGATATCTGAGCGGAAAGAATCTCATGTCCACAGTGTGAACCTCTGCCGTCACTAAAAACCTATCCCTTAAGCCATCAACCCGAGTGATTAGAATGCACGGTGCCTTTATAACTCTATATAAATAATATATGAATCATGTTAAAGACTACCTCATTTTTTGCTATTATCATATCTGATCATTGTCATCGATTAATCTCAGTTTTTATTCAATATAAATTTTTATTCGAGAATAAACAGCAACTAATACTGATCCAATGTATTATTCACAAGGTACCAGCATATGCAATACGTAACAGCCTCATCGGTAAAGTTGAAATGACCAAAACTGATCGGCAGTAACATTCACAGAAACAAAGATGATAATGATCATATTTATAGTATTATGATCATTAGTGAATATACGTTTTCACCTTACAAAAATGAAATTTTAAAAAATGAGATCGAACATAACTTTCGTCAGTAATTACCGTTTCAAAGGAGTTAATCTAAATCTTCAAAACCAGTTTATTAAACTTCCAGCCAATTTCTACACAATGACAGCGACATCCCCAATATTGCTAAAATATTGTTTTTCAGATAATTACCGTAATTTTATTGCAAGATCAATTTTCGCAAATAGGAGATTAACACGACAGCCCACGATAAGATTAAGTTTCAGGTCGAATGGAGTGAAACAAATAAGATTATTGTTGATATAAATTTACATAATTATTTGAATTGCTTAGATAAAGTGGAAAACTGTCAAATATTCAATATACAGGTGAAATGCTCTGAAACTTGAACCGACTAGAAAACAAGTTATAATAAAACCTTGTAACTGTAAAAGATCAACATGTGATAACCAGAAATTGACAACGAGTCGATCAATTAACTGCCGTATTTTCATAAGTAAGTCTATGTATTCAATCGTAAACAGCTACATCGGTAAACGGTGGGAATAAAACGATGACAGTAGAAATAGCAGAATGTTGCACGTGTGTATTGTTTATGTAGGTGTTCGTTCGTTCGTGTTCCTTCTATGAATTGTTCAGTGAAAGAAAAAACAATGAAAAGCAACTTAATCAATGACATATTCGACGGAACATGACACTAACAAATATTATACCTCATAAATTAGAAATTTTGTCTTAGAAAAAATTAAACCTATTGCTTGACTGACGAACTGTTTGATATTACACCACGTAAAAAATGATGTCACTTGAACTTTTGATTGATTATTTTAGATAAATTCAATTATGTTTGATTGAATTTTGATAAATTACATGTTTGGTGTAAATTGAATTAATTTAGAAATAAGTGTTTGTTATGGTGTGTTGTCTGAAAAAAGAAACGTTCAACGGTAATCTTTCGGATGTCGGCCATTCTGATATATATTCACTAACGGTAACTGGACAGATCATTAGAGATAGTGATGTATAAACAGAATTCACAAAACCAGTTTAGCGTGATGCTTAATTGAAGCACACATCACTGTGTGTATACGCATTGTATCTTCGAATAATAACAACATACAACGTAACATTTACGATAAGTAAACCATTTCGCAATTCACTCTTCATTCATACCTATTTTCACCCCTTCCATTCACAATTTATTACACACGAATACTGTTCCTTTTCATAACAAATTTTATTACTCGATCCCCTCATAAGTGTTCTTTTATACACAAAACTACCAGTAACCATTTCAGATACCATTCTTTACAACTATCTTGAAATATTTTCGAGTATTTTTTAAAATATAAAACTGGGTGCTACAATCCAAAAGATGTTACTTGATTGAAGCATGACCAAAACAATTATAATTTATTCCTTGATAATCGATTCAGAATGAATTATCACTGTCAAGCGAGTGGTTAGTCTCATAAGCATTGGAATTAGATGCAGGCAGACATACACACATAAGATCATTCAATAAGTCACAATCAACAAATTCGTATAAAAATTATCTCGCCACCAAGTTCCTTCCTATCATCACTTTCTGCCGATAAACAGACATCTGTTTAGACAAAACAACAAAACGAGAAGTAAAAAACACAAATAGCCATTAAACTGAACAACAATCACAATTCAGAATTAACTTTACGAATGCAAGACACATCGTTCCCTTTCAGCACTCGTTGTTCACATAAGTATTTCTAAAATGCAAATTCAATTCATCAAACAATCAACATAAAATAAACATGGTGAATGAATAAATGAATGAAAGCATATCGTCAAAAAAGAACATTCTTGACAATTCATCTTAACCGAATTTAACAAATAACGAGAAAATAAAATGAAAAACCTGCAAAGGAATTCGACTACGGCCAGAATAAAACCAACGTTCAATGTCTTCATCGTAATCCCCCAAAATATTTTCACATTGTTGTTTTAATGAGGTTATTTCAACACCTGGCTTATCCCACATTTCATGAGGAATACCCAATTCCACCTCAACGGGAAATCATAATTATTGATCACATACAAAACAAGAATCACGACAACAATAATTCGTTTGCAGTAGNTTTGAAAGAATATAAAACAACTGATCACCTTAACACCTCGCTGATGCAGTTTATTGAGTGTATTCATCGTGGACGTTTCCTCTTTTGAGAATCTTTGCAAGCCTTCTTTATCTTTGTGCAGTTTATACTCTAGCATGTGATTACATAGCTCTTCTAATATTTCAATGAATTGTATTTTGCGATCCAAAGCATTCATCTTTAATGGCTCGATTAATTCGATTGTTAGTTTAGTTACAATTGAAAACACAACAACAATGATACAACAACCACCAACTATTTCTCACTTAATGCCGTTTCTCGATACGATAAAAATAAATCTGCAAAAATAAAATCGAATTAAACTAAAATTTTTCCAACCTGATCACGATACTTCAATGATGACAATTGATTTTCAAATTCTCTGACGAATAAAACACAAGATTCACATTTTGTTGGTGCTTGAATCAGTTGCTGTTCACAGTGACAACTATCGATCAAAACTATTACCAACAAATAGTTAATTATTATTCGATGAGTCATTATTATTTTCAACTTTTGGTTCAACCGTTCCATTCGAGTACATCTGAAGTAATTCTTTTATTTTTCTTTTGATGAAACTTCATTTTCATTTCAAGACAACGAGTATTATTATTGTTGCTACAACTCAAACTGCTGAATAACATCAAAAAATAAACTTTCATCATAAACACATTTATCAGTTAAATCGAAATGACTATATCGAATTACTGCAGTCATTACGACGATATAAGATACAAGTGGGTGTTGCATTCAAAAGTTGATCATAACGTTGAGAGCATTTACCACGAAATGCAAGCAACTAACATGTAGTCGTTGCCTTTTCCTCGTATAATATTGCCACTGTAATATTTGTTGCTCTTCAATAAATTTCGCATTCGCATTACACGCTATGGCCTCACGAAACTCTGAATGCTGAATTGCCTCCAGAAAATGTAAACACTGCGGATATTTCAATGCTCTGTAAATGTTTCAATGCATTATTCGTAATTATCACACAAACAAGAAAATAGTAATAGTAATAGCTATTATTCTTGTTATTAAAGAGGCAAGCAAAAGCAAACTGTAAAATGAAACCGATCAGCGTAATTTACAAAGAAACACTTAAAAAGGGGATAGTTCTGATCAAAATGATAAAGATAACTGTTAGTATTGCTCTTATTGGTATTGTCTCCAAGAAGAGAATATCATTGTTACAATTTTTACTAAACACTGCAGTCGTTACAAGTGATTACTGAATAATGTAACAATAAGAATGACAATCACTGCTATAATTATTGCGGCTGATGGATAAAATTGATAGTATTTTCAGAATAAAAAAACGTAAAATAACCTAGCGTATTCGGGCCGTTTCCAGTACAGCAAATACTTAAGATAATTAATGAAGTATGCTTCTTTGAAATATCCCCGTTGTGCCAGAACTGCAATAACAAAATTACAACGTACCGAACCTCGACCCATCCATCTCACATTGAGCGCGTATGAAGTAACGGCTTAAAACTAAATTTGCTATTTCAGAACCCATCGGGTGACAAGCAATTCATGTAGTACTAGTGTTAGCAAAACTCCGACTACATTTCAACGACGGCATTCAGAAAAAATCACAGACTAAAACAAATTAGTGGTGATGACGAAAGACAAAACATGAGTGACGACATCATGAAGTTTCGTTCACCATTTTCTCAAAAACGAAACCCGAGATGGAACTATTAAGCAATGATTTATCCACATATTGTCGGTCAGTGATAAACAACAAATACTGCTAAATATGAATGAACTGGGAATGACTACATGTAATTCAAGTTAAATATATTACAGTACAAAATTATATAAAATGCTGTACTTTATCGAATCCCGGAATATCGAGATTTTTGAGAACATCAATCCCAGGATCAGGATTCAAAAATCCGGACCCAGCGATCCCGTTTAAACACTTTGGCACAAATCAATGACTTTGATTTGTGCTATATAGTGTTTTTAAAATTAAAAAAAACGTTGCAGTTGAAAANAAGATTAATAAAAACTTATGTTGAACAGAACACAAAATACACCGATCAAAGTAATCTGATTGGATTAACTGCTGATAATCGCAAATAACTGATTGATAAATATCGCTGAATTGATATTAGTAATGTGACAATTATTCCGGAAATAATAAATCCGAATGGAATCGAATGAACTTACAATTGAGATAGTGCGGATTGGACAATGCTTGAACGAATTCACACTCCACTTCGAAACGTCTTTTTTGCTCCTCTGATGTTTCCACACCGCCCACCGCACTCAAACTTGCTCCTCAATTGTAATTTTTTAATATTGAAAAAATGAATAATACTGTTTGATTTCAAAAAATAACTGATGCAACCGCCCTTGACTAAACCTGAACTTTGGTTTTCCATCAATAATTTCAAACATACACCTCGAAGACATATGAAATTGCAAAATGCATTATTATCATATAGTACTCGTGTAATAAATATGTTTATGAAAATAAGCGGTGCTACAAGCCACAGCATAAACTCTGGATAAGCCTCAACGTTACGGCTCAGAGCTGCAGGTGGACCTGAGCTAGGATATAAGTTTCATTCGAAGTCTCGTGTCGAACCTCCGCCGAAAGCAGGAGTAAATCTTGGCTTGAGGTTGATGTGTAAGACGGCCTCTTTCCATAGATACGATTACTTCAAGAGTATAACCTATCAAACAACATTCGAGAAAATGAACAGCATAAATTGAATGCATGTAAATACCTCTGATAAGATCCAGCGCTGCGACTTTGATACGATATTATCGGAACAATCAAAACACTTTTTTTCTTACTACTGCAAATAATATCACGCAAGTTTGAAAAGCCACTCTTAGCATTAGGCGGCACAGGCGCAATCAGCCAAAAGGCGGAGTTCAACCATTATTTGGAGGAGGGTCCCTACCATCGTAAATCACAGACAAAATTACACTACACAGACAAAACGAATGAAAGGAATCCTTATTTGACTGAATTTAATCCTTCTTTGTTATTCTGAAATCTTTCGTAGACAAAAACGTCGATTGCAACAGATAGTGCGGATTGGACAATGCTTGAACGAATTCACACTCCAGGGTCGGGTCGGGGTTGCGAAATCTTGCTATAAACACATTGCAAGCGATAAACCAGTGGGCACGGCACATCCACCATGTGGTTATTAGCCAACACCCAGCCGATCCAGTTGAAGTCAACAAGGAAATCATATTCAGATCACATTTCTGCTCTCTTTAAATTCATTCTCCGATCGTTATCCTCATGAAATGGCAACCGAACGAAAAGCTAATTCGATTGGGATCAGATGGAATTGGAATGAGTTTCGCAGTTCCCAAGTGTTTGTTGTGAACGTTTAGAATGTTTATTGAGAGCGCTTAATGAATGTTAAGTGAAGAAATTTTTAGACGAGCATGAACATGCATACGAAACGAATACGTGAAATGACTTTGAATATGGACACAACCATGAAATATTCACCGTTTGTTTGAATTATGGACTGAATCATGTTGAGCATATATCATATATCACCAAGATTTAATTAAGTTAATATCAGCACTTATTAATCTATCGATCGACAACATCAATACTATCTGCACAAATATTGCAAATGTAAAGATGAACAAGTCTCACCAGAAATTATCTTGAGGCGTGAAAATGAACAACACAACACAGGAACGCATGATGATGCAACACAAAAAGTATCACGATGAAAAATATTGGCACAAAAAGCAATGAGTAAATTATCGCAATGTTGGACGTTGTTAGAGGGTTAACTTTTAATGAACTGATTATCAGTAAGTGATCATTTTATATGGTGAAAGAATGCAGTGAGGATCAAACTGCTTTTTGATTACTTTCGCCAGTTCATATTCGTATCCTTTTCCCAACCGAGCATACGGTCTTCTCTCTTGTCCAACACCGTGCTCAGCACTTATACTGCCGCCGTGTTCTACTGTCCATTCGCAAACGAATGGATACAATCTAAATTATCTTATCATTCTCTCCAACGTAATTTCAGAATTACACAGTTGACAATATTTTACGAGAAGAACGTTAAATAATAAGCATAACGCCATGTTCTTCAAAAATACAGCATTAGTATGAACCGTGTTTTCAAAGTTAGCAATTTCTGGTGTTTATATCAAGAAACAAAAAACAATAGGATGAAAATATAAGAGGGTGATTAGTACATGAACAGTACTTTGAGGCGATTTCCGGTGAATACTGTTTGGCAGAAACGTTGAAATGATTATCGCCGTCAGCCATATGGCCGAAAGTGAGAACTCGAGTTGCAAATCCTTTAAGACGTTCACGAATCAGTTCAGATAACGTATAGAAGTGATCCATTGGCAGTGATATATCATGCTTGTAAACATATCCATCATGCAAAGGCGCTAATGGTAAAGTCTTTCGTAATTTCCACATATATGCACGTTCTTGCGCATTTGCTGCCTGAAAAAAAAACGCTCTTTATCCGTTCACTTATGTAAGTCACAAATGACGAGTGAAAGTATGACTCACCAGAACGCCATCAATTGCTAAGCCCTTCTCAAGTGTTACACTCAAGAAATGCTCCATTTTCGCTTTATCATGCTCCTCATTGGAACCTTCAAAGATACGAGATTGAAAGTAACTATCTCCACTGTTGGTTCGATACTGGTGACAAATAAACTAAACGTTAAAGTAGCAGTAAGATAGTCATTTCCATAACGAACCCATCACTTCAATAAGAAGATTGAAAGGTGGATCACTTGTGAGTACATTATCAAGTTTTTCATTTTCTTTGAGGCAACGCATCGCTTCAGAATCCATTAATTCGAACGCTGACAGGATCTCACCAAGATGCTGCTTCGATAGACGAAGTATTTCCCGACATCCCGAATATGTTTTCACACCTTCATGATAATGGTTACGATAACTAGGATCAACAGTCGGTTTTCAATGTTTGAATTATCATTTGGTTAAATACCAACCTTTCTTTACTATTTTGATGAATATGTTTTAGAAAAGGATATCCAATTTTAATGAAAAACAAAACAATCTTATATCATACCATAACAGATATATACCTAACATAGCCACTTGAACGCTAGTTGGTTTCGGAACGACGCATACGGTGACACCACAGATAATACCAAGCTGACCTTCGCCACCAATAAACAGATGATGCATGTGCAAATTTGTATTATCTTTACGCATGTCCGAACCAAAATTCACAGTTGAACCGCGTTCGTCAGCTAACACCTTCAATAAATACCGGTCAAGTGGATACAAGTTTATATTAATCTGTTGATACATCGGTGATGGTGAACCTGATCATGAACACAAGGGAAATCACCTAAATACTGACCACTTGTAATCCAAGCAAATGATTATGTAATGAACCGAATCGAAGTCGTCTCACTCCTCCAACACCCGTTGACACATTACCACCAATCAAACACGACCCTCTCGAGCCCAAATCCCAAGGCATTTGATAACCTTCTGGTGACAGTCGATTGTACAACTCCTCCAATATCCAGCCCGAGTCACATTTTAAAACACCTGAAATATTACTGCCAATATCCGAGGTAAATAACGAACCCGTAACTTTGCTCAAATGCAATCAAATTGAGATCCAGAAAGGTGAATGACTACATACGGTTTTACTGATGCTCTTTATGAGAGGCATCTCAAGGCATAACTTTAAAAGAACCGCTTGTGAGAGTTGCGAAGAACACTCGAATACAAACCGAATGACCGTCATTAATTTGATTATTAATTTTATTCACTAAGCACTTTTTCACTTTTCTGGCCTTCCTGAATGAGCAAATCAAATGGTTCATCAATAATTTGATCAAGCGGATCCGTCTACAATAGCGATATTCATACAAAAATTTAATTCTGCATAAAATGAAGGCGTTATCGAAATTAAAAACAATATACCCGCATTAGGATCGAAATGGAAATTTTTGTTGAATTTCTTCATCGACAAAACGATCTCATCATAGACCGGTACGGATGCACCAACCAAACCCGTATTACCACTTTGTGGTACTACAGCTATATTGCGGGAATAACAATGCCGCAGTATTGCGGACACCTGATCTGCACTACTCGGGAATAAAACACATTTTGATGTGCCTGAAGTACACTAAAAATAACTTGAAATGCACATCAACACTGTAATGATGGAAGCAAATCAATTTTTCCGTTAACTTTATCACGAAATTAATCTCGTCGAATGTTCAAAAACGGATATCTAATTGCATCCTAAAAATTCATTTCCTATCCACATTCTTAATCAATCTACACTTGCAAACAACAAAATGGCCAATACCTTTATAAGCTTTCAGGAAATCCGTATTGTACGGATCTAAATCATCAGTACGAACATTCTCCTTTCCGACAATTCTGTCGAAGAATGACAAGTCAGAATCGTGCAAAAGCGCATAATTGGCACGTTGTGGTGCACTCACGGATGCAATACTTCGTATAAGTTGCCCTGTTCGTATACCACGAAAAACATTTCTCATGCTAGCATTCATCTGAATTCATAACAATAACAACACAAATAATTCGCTTCAATATCTTGAACGAATGCTGTTCACGATTAGCATAAGTGAGAAATGCCAAAAAGTGATCGTTTCCCACAGTCGTCTCAGGTCATCACCGTGATCGCTTTTCATCCCTATTTTTTGAGTTTTTTTTTGCACTCGAAAAGTAGCTTCATATGGACGCGTGCACACCCTAGAGCTATTCAATTACTGCACGAGTAAATAAATTTTATTTGCTTGAAACCAAACGCTTATCAGGGGAGGGTGAGCACACACAAAATTTGAATAATGAAAATATTGTGAGTTGATGATGGGTGGTAGTTGATTTGGAAGTTGGACAGCAAAATACCCAATGGCGTAATTTTCGAAGACAAATTGCTTGCGGTGAACCTAGCGTACCTGTTTTAACGAGAAATGGCGATTCAACTCATTGTCAGTGCAAAACGCATCTTAAAATTAAATACTTAATGTGAAAATGACACATTGCAGCACTATGTTTGTCGCTGTTCGGATAGACTCTTGCGATCTCTGGAATATGCAACAATTTAAAACTGATTACTTCATAGTTTCGCTCTATTTTTTGTTTCTATGAGATTTCATTGGCAGCAAGCTGCAGCAGCTGTTCAGTGGGAACCTCATGTGAGTTAAGAATGCTTCAAAATTGATCAGTTAGGAGAGAGAAACGTCATTTTAAAAGAAAATGCGAGGTTAAACATGAATTTAGTCTTTTTTTAGTTTAAAGCTTCCGAAGATTTTTTTGGGGAATGGAGGTTGGAACAGGGCGTATTCCTAGTCAACTCGTGGTAGCAAATCGGGACAGTTCATTTTGAGGAAAGAGTTGGTAGTTGGTAGTCTTCGGAATCATCACACTTTAACGCCTGCTTCATCCCTCACATTTTTGGTTGATCAGTGGTTCTCATGCTCGAGAACTCCATTACCCACTTCAACAGTCTGGTGGCCATTCCCCCCCCCCCTGCTACAAGAACTTACTATTTTCACGAATGTAATCTTGGAAGATGGTTGAAAACAAGAACATGCCTAAGTGTCTCATTCACAAATATGAAAAATAAATAAATACTAGTATAAACCGTCAGAGATTTTCTTCAAAAATACACACGTTAAAGTCCACCCTTGCTTACTTTAAACACACGTGCGCTTTGAACTCCGTCTTCGCATACTTTAATGTATAAATAATAAAACCTTATCTCGCATCCTCTAGAATACTATCTCGCACTCCTTGAGGATGCGAGCACCCCCGGCTGAGAAACCCTGATGTACGGAAATCGAGAGCTGTTGAGCGTTTCTGACCCATATTTGTCACAAGCATTATTTTCGTTATTATCGGTGTCGAAAAAATGCGGCATGGATCATTAACCAATAGGTTTGTCAGCTTCATCGTTGTGACTATTTAACAAAGAACATTTCTCAATGCATATGGAATTTCAGTGCAGATATTTAGAGCATACTGGTAAGAGGAGAGTCGTGAGTGAAACGGTCAAAATAACGGTTATGTTGTTGGAAACAATTTACTGTAATTATGCTGATTGTGAGGAGGAAATTGTGGATTGCGTTTATGGGGCATTCATAAGAGAACAACAAGTTTTTACGACCATACCACATTGAAAGCACGACATCTTATCCGATCTGTCAAGTTAAGCAACGTTGGGCCGAGCTAGTGCTTGGTTTGGAGACGGCTTGGGAATTCCAGGCGAAGTAAGCCTAACGTTTTGCTGGTTTGGATATAATAAAAGAGGATGTTTTTAGGAGGGGAGATGCAAAGGAAAAGACGAATGAATGAGACAGGTCGCTTTCGTTGCTTCTCAAATATGCTAATTGTTGATCATCTTGCAGTTGTCGAGATTGCCGATTTCGCATTCGATTTAATTACCCATGTTTGAGGCTGCAGAAACTGGGCAAATATTGAACTGAGAGAATTGGACTGTTGATCGGTTCATATTATTTGAGAAGTTATGATGATCGAAGAACTGCAAAATGGTAACTGAAAGTGTTTTATTTGATACAAGCACATCCTTGGATTGATCGATTATTGATCGCGTTTTAATTGATTGGTTACTCTAGTATGTGCAGAAACAATTCTTCATTCAAATGAATATCTTCCCTAAATTGTGATAGTAAAATTTATTTTTGTTCTGTGTCAACTGGGAATGAACGTGTTATAATCTAATTTCTTATGCAATCAAAAACCACCCTACCATCTATTATTACCACTATTATTGGAAGTTTTCTCCCATCATCATTTTCTAAAGAATGGATTAGTATTGACGATTTGCGTAGCTGATCAAATAACATTCGGATAAACGATCCCATTCAACTGGGTTATGGTGTGCAGAAGCAATTCTTCATTCAAATGAATATCTTCCCTAAATTATGATAGTGAAATTTGTTTGTTCTGTGTCAACTGAAAATGAATGTGTTATAATCTAATTTCTCATGCAATCAAAAACCACCTATTATTACCACTATTATCAGAAATTTTCACCTATCAACATTATCTGAAGAATGGATTAGTATTGACGATTCGCGTAGCTGATCATATAACATTAGGATAATTGAGTTATGATGCGATTGATGAAGTTCACGCTTGAAAATCATAGATCACAATTTTTGTTTGCTTTTATCACAATGAAAATGAGCCACGCACATGTTCAAATTATGAATAACAATAGTTCCAAGCAGAAAAGCAAATAAAATGCGAAAAAGCAAAAAGCCAAGAGAATAAAAGAACAAAGAGAAGAATTAGCATTTGCGTAATAACTAAATGTCATCAGAGCTTAAAAAATTATAGATCACTGTTTTAGTTGGCTTTTATCGGAATGAAAATATTTAGGCAGGTGTTCATGCTATTTATGAGATTAGTTCAAAGCAGGAGGAACGAATGAAATGCATATAAAAGAGTTGAGCAGAACCCAAGAATTATCACTTGCATAATGACTAAAAGTATCGCCCATCTATGCTGCTATGTTCTGCTTCTCGCCTTTGTTGCCGATGCTGATAATCAGGTACTTTCCTTTTCAATGATTATGAGGTTGTTCAATTGAACCATCTTCCAATTGAATTTCAGCGACTGAGAGAAAATTTTCATTCACCATCGTATGAGTTTATTTAATATGCACAAATGTAATATGAATGATTTTACCAAAAAATATTGATAAGGGAGATAAAGATGACACGTGCTGAATACTGAACTGCTTTGAAATTTCGTAGTCGGGAATAGGCTGATTTGACATGCGAGAGTTGGCAATAACAATACCAAGTTGGCTGAAGATTACATGCTGAATCAGTTGAAGTGATCAATAAATAGCAGTAGAGTGAGCATTCATTGAGAACGTGTCAGTCAGTACGTTCATGAATACTTGAATTGAAAACGCTTTCTTGAAAAAGGAACTGTAAGATAAAGTAATGCTGAAAGAATTATTTCAGCTAACAGCAACAATAAGAAACTTGATATTTTAAGGTGAGTATCCACTCAGTGATATAATATCTTTTAGCAGCGCACTGATAACGCGATATCCGATGATGAAACATTCCTAACCGCCGAGGATCTCAAAATTGGCGAGATTTTGGCGAGCAAACCGATGGCCGTACCATCAGCTGATTCAAAGGCATTGTATTCAAACAGTCTCTTCGAAGGAGACATAGGTTAGTGTTTGCAGCCGGGTTCGTATTCGAAGTATAATTAGAGAGAAAACTTGGAACAATGATTGATATTCACAAACGATTCATCAGAATTCAAACACGGAATGGGAATGTCTACTGATTGGATCAGTGAAACCTGTCTAAAAGACATGAGCATTTTCCTTTCAGTAAATCCTTACGTGGAAGCAGGTGCGTTAGGGAACGCCACCTCAATGGGCTCCTTGTATGGAAATGCTCTGCGGGATCTCAGATTGAGATGGAAAGGTGGAATCGTACCGTTTGTGATTTCGAAGAGCTATACCGCTGATCAGTAAATATATTGAACGATTTCTTAAGAAAATCTTTGAACCGTTGAATTATTGTATTGCTACGTATGGTATACAAAACGGTTGCGATGAAACAATTGAAAGATTCTTCTCTTAAAACCTATATAAGTGTTGTTTAGGGATGTTATTCAGTTGGTGATATTTATGTGACACGGAAATCATATGTAAAGGGTCTGTTTGACAAATTAATCCTTTTCTCGTCGTTTAATTGAACACTTCAGGAGAGCTGTTATCGCTGCTGCTATAGCCGATTACCACAAATACACCTGCATTCAATTTAGAGATAAGAGAGAGGAAGATAAAAATTACATCAGCATCAAGCCCCTTGGTGGGTGCTATTCGCAAGTGGGTTCAACAGGTAAATCCATAGAAATCATTTATGATTCAATGCAGTCAGCAATCTGTTTATTCTTGTTTATTCATTCTCAAAACCGCAGAAAACACTGATCGTGATCTTATGTTCGACACTTTTAGATATGTAAGCAAAACTGACACCTAATTTAAAAAGTAGTTCAGGTGGTATGCAAGAGTTAAGTCTTGGAGATGGATGTGTCTACAAGGGAATCGTCATACATGAAATGATGCATGCACTTGGCTTCTTTCATGAGCAAAGTTTGATGACTTTACACTTTTAATCAGTTCTTATCATAATTTTAAGTTGAAACAGTTATTAGCATTATTTTATGAACGATTAAATTCAGCAATCTGTAAATTCGGCGGACAGTGGCAATTAAATACGCAGAATTAAACTGTGGCGTTTAATTGTTTCATACCTCTCAAAATTATAACATTAATATTCAGAGATTCTCACGCATATTTGTTTATCTTATTCATTCGGTAATCACAACATGCAATTAGATCATTCACATTGAATGCAGCAAGTTTTTACAGTAATTGCTCAGTGATTGAAAATCTACTGCGACTGACTGTAAATTAAAATTTTTCGAAATCCATTTGAAAATTCGATATAAATTTTTAAAATTGTATCTGGAATCAATTTTAGGTCGTACGAAGAGAGATAAATACGTGGAAATTCTCTTCGATAATATCCATGACGGAATGGCATGTTAGTTCCTGTGCAGATTTTTCTGCTTCCATTATACAAAAATCTTCCATCTGAAACGCAATAAAAATGAATCCGCTGTTACTTCTGCTTGTAATCAATTTATGTCAGATGTAATCTATCAGTATTTCAGCTTTTATATTTCCAAATCAATGAAAATATTCTGCTTCAGGCGTGTCGCGATTAAATATTTCTAAGTTCTTTTAAGATAACTTCGACTCATACGATGCCTCTGAAATTAGCGCTTTGAATATCAAATACGACTATAACTCCATAATGCATTANTATTACGAATGCAAAGGTACATTACATTAAACTATCATATCTGATCTCATGTCAGCCGGAATCCTGCTCATGAAATGACCTTATTAGTGTCATATTCCAACAACAAGGTGGAAATTAATAACCTGTCGTTCCATGTCTACAGTTATGGAAATGATGAACGAGTTCGTTTCTTTCAGGAGATTATGCAAGAACACCGAAAATAACGCACTGTGATGATGAATACGGTAATTGCGAAATTAATCGTAAGTACTGTAGCAATGAAGGGATTAAAAAAGGGTGTCGAAAAACATGCAATGTTTGTTAGAGTTATTAACTTGGCATTGTTATCAACTGGAATCATGATAGATTTATTTCAATGTTCTTCGTTTTAAAACCGATCCATATTGACAATAAACTTTCTACTCGCTTTTTGAAAATGTTCATGAGGATACGGTGGGCTCCAATATGGTAGTGATGATATCTGATTGTTTTTGCAAGATACTATTCATTGGTATCATCATCAGCTTGAATCAAGAACCGACGCGTGTGAAAGGATGATTGATACTGTTGAGACGTTCAACATGTTTGATTTCTGAGTATTCGAATCGCTCTGATGAGTAAATCGCTTCTTATGTTAGCATTAAGATACTTAAGAACAACTTTAACAAAACTACTCGATACAAAGTATCGTTGTATGCTTGCTTCGAATTTATCGACAATATCCGAATAGTGAGCAAAATCGTCCCATCGCATTTATTCTTTTCTGAAACCGGAGAACCTGGAGAATCGCATGATTGAGAGAAAAAGACATATTGTCGTGCCAACTTGACAGCACTTCTAGATTGAAAATGGTGATCCTTAAATAGCTAACTCCCCGTTTACATTGATCAACGCACATTTAATGGGTACCCGATCAATCTGCCTGAAGACATTTAGCCTAGCGACGGTTTGCCTATAGACACATTATCTAACGGACAGTTTGCCTAACGGACAGTTCGCCTACAGAACAATTTGCCGAACGGACATTTTGACTAAAGAACAATTTGCCGAACGGACATTTTGCCTAACGGACAGTTTGCCTAAAAAAACAATTTGCCGAACGGACATTTTGACTAACGGACAGTCTGCCTAAAAAAAACAATTTGCCGAACGGACATTTTGACTAACGGACAGTTTGCCTAAGGAACAGTTTGCCTATTAGGCGAAATATCCATTAAAAAACCGTAAGTTGGGCAAACTTTCCGTTCAGCAAACTGTCCGTTAGGCAATGTATCTTTAGGCAAACCGTCGTTAGGCTAGATGTCTTTAGGCAAACTGTCGTTAGCCTAAATGTCTTTAGGCAGATTGACCGGTCACGATTTAATGTACTGGAATCAGCCATTGAGGTACCTGAGATGACTTCAGAAAATCATTATTATTACTTATAGTGAGTAAAATGGCCCGACAACATCTATAATGTTGTGAAAACAGAGAATCTGGAGAATCCGATAATGTGGAGAAACAATCATGTTGCAGCATAAAACAGAGGACATTGAACTTAAATAAGTAATTAAGTGTTATTGATGGTGCCTCTATTAGTGTCTATAGTAATGTAAAGATCGAATTCTTGTGTCAGAATGCAAACAAATGAGCGCGACTGCGCTAGTTAAGATACCTTTAAGAAATTAGCTACATCTCCTCAATTGAGCAAAATCGCCCAACAATATATATACCCTTCTGCATCCAGAGAATCTGGGGAATCTAATGGTGTGAAGAAATCACCATGTTACTGAGCAAACCTGAGGACACGATTAGTTTGAAGATGGTGACCATAATACTGCTAGAGTAATGTACAGATTAATCAATACTGATGCGTTGTAATGAAACGAACTCTGCCCAGCTATTCGAATAGAAAATAAGCTATATCTCCTCAGCTAATAAGCTGTATTACGCAGAATCGCCCGACAACATGCATACTTTTCTGAAACTGAAGAATCTAAGGAATCCGACAGTGTGAAGAAATCACTACGTTTGTGGGCAAACCTGAGGACAGCGCTGGTCTAAAGTTGGTTACCCTGTTACTGATAATGTGGTCAATAGATAGTTAGGATTCACAGAATTTCAGATTGATCGTTGTTTGGTTGAGCGATTTTGGCGTCTAGTGGTTGTTGATTGTGATTTACCACACAGAAGATATTTATTTTAAATGAAGTGCGGACATGAATTGACGGGGACACAGTCGAGGATTGATATACGAAACTTATCTCCAGATCGACAGACGACACTTTTTGGGATTGAACAACAACAAGAATGAAAATTTTGAGGTTGAGGTATTGAATTATTGAGGGTGTGGCATTGCATAAAAAATGATAAGGTTCCGGATGACTGAAGACGGCCGACATAAGGTCGCAAGTAAGATGCGTTGACCTGAGAACATCGGAAGACAGCGCGGAAGTATTACATGTATGGGAAATGCATGAGTGCATGTATATACATGTGAGAGTCAATAATACATCTGTACGTATGGGAATAACACATGAAATACACATAAGGGCATGGGATGCATACATTATCAATCTTTACAGGAATAATATTATCAATTGTGATATCGTCGTCAGTGTGGGAGTGAATGATACGCTCATGCATCATCAATATTTACAAGAATGACAACATCAGCTATAATATCTGTCGACATCCCAGTTCACAAGAATTCACAATCAATACCAAGAGCAGTAATATCGCTAATGACAACAATTAACATTATCATCGATTAATATCAGGATCAAAAGTAATTGCATAAAAGGTTGCGATTCCGCAACAGATAATGTAGTGTACAGATTGATCAACGTAGATTCAGTATATTGAAATAAGCGCTGCACAGCAAGTGAGATATGTTCTGGAAATTGTCTGATCCTCTGAACATAAGCAAAATCATCTGACAACATGTATACTTTTCTGAAACTAACAAATATTTGTGAAATGGTGATAACAGAGAGGTCAGGTCTAAATACGCAATGAATTGTAATTTATCATAAAATGAATAGATAAGATATTTCAAATTGTTTTCGTTGATTTGAGTTTATGAAGAACGGTTGTAATAAGTATCTTTTCTAACGGGTCACAATCTTGTTTCTAATGAGGATGCAAATCTCACTTGCATATTTGAGAAAGAGTTTCACACAACATCTACAAGCTCATCCCCGAACTAGGAGGTCATTAGGCTTAAGGAAATGAGGAAAGATATGAGATTTGCAATAGGCTTCACTGAGAATGCTATCGATGTATTGATTAAATTTTAGATCACGTCAATCAAAATATCACTGGATTTCATATATTTTTAAGATTCACGAACCGTGCATGTGTTGTCGAGTGATTTTATGCACTAGAAATAATATCAACGATTTTTTGAAGAAATCTCATGTAACTAACTGGCTCATTCCAATACATTTTGTCTGCATTGATCAACGGACTCAAGAGGATAGTAATATCAGGATCACCATATTCAAACTAACGGTAAATGCTGTCCAGTACGGATTCATTTCAGTTGGTATTAGTATGCATGCGACTTTCACTGTACAATAAGTCAACACTCTTCAGTTTCGAGCATAAAGTTTTGAGTTTTGAGTATGTTTTATTTCAGTGAGTATCAACTTGCAACTGACCTATTTTTCACCTCAGGTGAATTGATTATATTCGTAATATTAATCCAAACTCTATACAGCTCTTGTTTAGTCTTTATCATTGGTTTATTTCTCGTTACATGGATCGCAATTAGCTGCGAGCATGCTTATTTACTCAAATTGAATTAATTTCAGCTGAAAAGTGTTCCGTGTGTGTTTGACCACACCCCATTTTTCCTTGATCTAAACTGCAGGATTACCTCAAGTTGAAATATAGCGATGGATTACATTTGAGCTCAGGTTCAGGCTGACACTCTGCCGGGTTGAACTGTTCGCTAAACAAATTGATACTTTTATCATACCACAGTGAAATATTCAGTAAATAAATAAATATATGGTTCGTCGCTATGAGCCTCATCCTACGCTTGAAACCAAATGTAATCCATTGCGATATTTCACTTTGTTTATTGCCACTCATTTTTAAGTGTTGATCTCAACGAGTATTTCGACCACTTTGAATCTATCATGCATCATCCATGAGCAATGCGTATCAGGATATTTGTTGTTGCAACGGTTTTAATATGCTATGAAAACTACAGTTTGTTGAGTTGAGATACCGAATGGCAGCAGCCTAGTTCCGAATGAGAGCCAGTTAATGTAAGTAAGGGTAACACGAGTGTCCACATATCCATATTGATGCGCCGTCCATCATTATAATGCGCACTATCAACGAACGAGTCTTCTCAGAGTATTGATTTTTCGAAGAATTGTTACACTGCAATAGCGAGGATGGGTTGGTATGTGACATCCACTCGATGATGATTGTACATTTTTCAAATATTCGACCCTGAAGGGCGACGATTGTCCGGTTGTTGGCGTTTGGCTCTGTTTTTGTTTAAAAAATAGGATCAAATTTATCGGAGTTGTCTTATATAATGGACGCAATTTGCGTTAATTTCATGGGAGCATACGACGACTGATAACACGATGCCGTACTCGCCCAACTTAAATGGCCGAGCTATTGAAGATTGTTCGAATCATTTCGCAATACAGGATAGACCTCAGCTCGATACCAGAGCAATCATCAACATGAGCCAAGAATTGACCTCAGTCTCATTCAACCAGCTTCATGAATAACTAACATTTTTCAAAAATTTGGCCGTATAAGTCGGAATCGTACAGCCGAGTTTCAACCGTATTTCTACTTCTAGTAATTTTGGTGATCGCACATTAGGTTGTGAAATAATGTTATCGATCCTGTGGCGTTCTGTTGAGACGGTTTCAGTTTGAAAAAAATGTGCGTAATAGACGCTGATATGTAATATACTTTTGAAATTGGCGTTTAAATCAGGATGACGTTCGGAAACAGGAGGTTCTTAAGTGGGTCCAGATTCATCTAGCAAAAATCTCGGCTTGTCTTGCGAAGAATTGGGGAATTCATTGATCGTATCAGTGGTTTACAAGTAAACCTTGATACACGTTTAGGAAAAAAGATAACGGCTGTCCACCTGGCTAATAGCAGTCATGAGGTCAACTAAATCATTATTTTAGCATAGTTTTTTGATAATCTTCCTCGACTTTCTTATATGAGTCCATGAATCCGGGTCTACGATATTTGACCAAGCGACAACTGTCAGCACGTCATTTAGCCAGCAAGTAGTCGGTCNGTGTTTAATATAAAAAGCGTATTACTGACGCTTAGCCTCAGCCTGAGCGTGGCCTCAGCTTAAGCCTAAGCCTAGTCCCTGCCTCAACCTAAGCGTAGCCTCAGCGTAAGCCTAAGCATAGCCCCAGCCTGAGCCTGAGCCTCAGTAATACACATTAGGCTGAGGCTTAGCCTCTGTCTGAGCATAGCCTCAACCTTAGTCTGAGCGTGAGGCTGAGGCTACGCTTGCTCACCATATTGTGTGTGTGGTGTAAAACGCGTATTATTGAGGCTTAGCCTCAGCCTAAGCCTCAGTAATACGTATTAGGTTGAGGCTTAGCCCAAGCCTAAGCCTAAGCGTAGCCTCAGCCTCAGTCTAAGCGTAGCCTCAGCCTCAACCTAAGTGTAGCCTCAGCCTCAGTCCGAGCGTGAGGCTGAGGCTACGCTTAAGCTAAGGCTGTGTCGGCCATAGTGCTGTTGTACTGCTGCACGCTCGCGTTTTTGCCTCTCGAACGACACCAGTACCATAAAATAGTGATAAACATTCTCGAAATATATCACATAGTCCGTGTTTTATATCACACACAAAACGGTGATCGTGCGTCCGCACTGCTCAAAAAGCGAAGCCAAACGAAGTTTGTGTGACGGACTACAGGTTGGCTAAATGACGTGCTGACAATTGTCGCTTGGTCAATTATCGTGTTCCCCATGAATCCTCATCCAAGAGTACTGGGAAAATCGTTGATCATTCTTTTTTAGAGGTTACACGAAATTCCCGCGACAGTTTTTGTGGTAAAATGCGAACCACTGAACCGATTGATAGATTTGTGAGTTTTTTTGAGTGATTCTTTGCGTAAAAGCACCAGGATGAAATCATTGACGAGGCGTGGATATTCAGTTGTCTGTTTTTTAATTTTTACTTATATAAAAACATAAATCAATCGGTTCATTGAGAGGTTAATGTTCTACCAAAGAAATAATTGCGCAAATTGCTGTAGAGCATGTTTAGGAATTGGTTTTGTCGAGTAATGCGTTTATTTGACGGTATTTCATTGCTAGTTTATTGGTGCCATAATGCATGTCGTGTGAATGAAAGAAGTAAAGAATTCAGACGATGGCCGACAGTGACGATGATTATCACCGAAGAGGCGTGCGCGATAAATTCCAGCGTGAAAGAAATGATTATTCAGATCGTTCAAGACAACGTGATTACGACTATGATAGGTTTTGTTGTTACCATTTTAAACTTTTCATTATGTCATCATCATCTATCAGTCTGCTAAAGGCGTTTGACTGTAAAATGAACTTTTTGTGCGGAAAAATTTCGTTTCAATGTTCTGAAAAACGAATTTGAAAAATTTTTTTTGAACATCTTGAGCTGCATGGGCTGAGTTCTTTCAGTTTGACTGCATCATCGAGATGAGATTCTTATAAAAAGAATTTTCCCATGAATGTTGTATTTGAAGACATTTCCGAAACTATAATAACACTTGTACTATAGAAATGATGTTCTGGTATAAGGTTTTGTGTGACTGAGTAAGAAATTACTAAGTTTAGACGAGGCGGATACCAACGAAATGATTATTCGAATGGTTCAGTGAAGCGTTCCTCAGCTAGAAGAGATGATTATGGAGGAGCAAGTGCCATGAAACGTTCTCGTATTGAGTAATTTTTATCATTCCATTTATTCCTTTAAGGATGTTGATTCTTATCACTCAGTAATTCGGTGTTTTTATGAAAGAGAACTTTTGTTATTAAACCTTCAAAATATCTCATTTTATCTTTACTTTGTCTTTATTTAAACGCAGTCGAAAAGCATTTGTAACAAATAATTTGGAAGAGTCGAAACAATGAAGTGAATGAAATGTATTTTAGTAGTGCATCGGACTCATATGATCCTGTAATAAAGTCAACATCTGAAGAATCGACCTCACCCGTAATGATGACATTTAAGAAGTTTTTATCCTGTCAAGATGATCAGATAACGGATGAAGAAGCAATTGCTAAGTATTCTGAATATAAAATGGAATTCAAACGTCAAGAACTACGCAAGTTCTTCAATGCGCACAAGGACGAACAGTGGTGGGTTAGGTTATGATAAGATAAAGGAGACTAAAAAAACCCTCCGCAATTTGCTTGAATTTCATCCCATTATTTTAGCGACAAATCAGCTCAACAATTACCATCTTGTATCCGATGTCGGACTGAATGAAGTATACTACGAGATCTACACATTAATAATTGCAATATTTCAGTGTGGTATCTGTTTGAATGCTTAGTCTACAAGAGGAAGTATTCTTTGAATGAAGAGTATTTTTTGAATTAGGTATATTAGGAATGATTATTGATTCATGTGTTGCTCATTTCAGAAGAAGCGCACAAATAGTGGCGCTAGCTTCGTTTCTAATTTATATTTGATATTCGTTACGTTTCGTTCTCATGATGATTTCGAATATCAAGTTTTCTATTCTGAGATGAATGATGCATGTATAAGCAGTAGTTTTGAAGCGATGATGTATAGAGCGTTTCGTTGAAGTTGAGATTTGATACGAATATTTGTGAATGTGTGTATCATGTATACACCAGAGGCGCAATATGCCGCGGTGCTTTCGACCGACTAAGCTTTTCAAATGCTGATGAATCGGAGGCAGTGAATCGTTATTCGACGATGATAACATCTTTGTAATACCACTCAAATCGTCAACACATCGTCATCAAAATTATTTCTCAATGAATTATTTCATCAACGATTTGAATCACAATCCATGATAATAATATCACCAACAACAGCAAAATTGAAATCGATTTATAAATCTACAAAAACATCCAAGCAATCTTCCTCATTCACAACAACTCAACTTCAACTTACCATCACTCATCTTTAATGAAATGAAATTCGACTTCGCAACTCATAAATGTCTATCATCAATGAGTGTGTTCTGCTCTACAACTAATACCAAATACGCCACATCGACCAACCAATTATATTTTTACTAAATACCTCATTTGTAGACTCGTCATTCATTCCAATTCGTTATTGGTTTTCAAATAAAATTTTAACATACAATGATCCAGTTTGTGTGACATTTTTCTGAACTTAGTAATAGTAGGGAGATGTCAATTTGTAAACATCAATTGAATATAGTTTACAATTGTGGATTGCTCTGGTGTGTCTAAAAATAAGAAGGAAATGATTAGAAGCATGCATTGACTGGATCATTGTTGTAGTAGTATGTACATATCAGCGATGAAATTGTGCGATGAATTCACCGAATCGTTTTGAGGTTCCGTCTGAAATATCATCCGGAAGAAAGTGCAAAGAGAAAAGAAGAACAGAATGAGAACATTAGTAAACGATTGTCGGTATTCGAGCAAATGCTCTCGGATGGTAAACTCGATAAAATTCATGTGGATTTCGATTGTGCATCTGATATTATTCGTATCATGGACATGTGTTAGTTTTATTTTATGATCATCCATTTGTGTATGGTCCATTATTGTGACTAACAAAGCACACTGCTGTTAGCATTTTGGTTGTTTTGTGTCACTTGATTGCTCAGCAAATAAGATGACATTTTCAGTAGTTGTTAAACTGGAAGGAGGTGATGAAGAGGATCTGAATGAATTGGAAGATGAGAAGGTCACTGATGCTGAAGCTAACAGCGAAGAGACTAGTGCTAAAGTTGAGAAGTTGTAAGTTTTCACTGATTAATTTCTTATTGTGTCATCGTACGAAAGTATTTGTTTGTAGGGAAGAAAAAGCAAAACCAACAGAAACAACAGAGGATGCAAAACCGAAGGAAGAGGAAGAGACGGAAACAGCGAACGATGATGGTGCAATCAGCGATTCAGATGGTGAAAAGAAACCGGGTGCTTATTCGTTTTTGTACATCATTCATTCATTGAGCCATTTGTGATTTCGTTGAATAACCTAATTAGTGTAAGTGATATTCTCTTATTTCCAGAAGAAGCCAGTCCAGAGCATCGTCCTGTCAAGAAGAAAACGCTTTTACATAAAACATCCAGCATCTTTTTGCGCAATATTGCACCCACTATAACTATACAAGAAATTGAAGCGGTTAGTTCTTTGAAATCATTTTAGATTATTTTTCAAAGTGCTTACAAAGCATTGCTGTAGCGTTTATCATTATCTGTTGATATTGTTGAACTTTAAGATCCGAATAGTAATCGCGACTCATCGCCAATGATAGCCAACGTGATTTGATAGCGTTGTGTGAATGTTTACATCGATACGGTTCTTGAGAAAGTTACGATGATAATGTCCATAAACACATTCCTTAACCAGTGATAGGTACTGAAAAAAACTAGATACACTATTAGCGGAATAGTGAGTAGTGCACTGTTACCCATCACTGGCTTCAATTTTTGATCATGGAGGAATGTCACTGAAGAATGTCGTAGTTTCAATGAGAAATTCTAGAATGCAGCATCATTCTTGGAGTGCCTATTTCACTGGCTTGGAAATATTTCATCCGTGAATGGTTGACGTAGTAATTTTTGTCTTTTAAGGTATGCAAGCGTTTTCCTGGATTTCTTCGAGTTGGATTAGCAGAACCGTTGCCCGAACGCAAATTTTATAGGAGAGGATGGATCACGTTCCGAAGAGATGTGAATATAAAAGAGATTTGTTGGAATTTGAATGGTGTTAGGGTTGGTGTTTATTGCATTTGCACACTCATTCATTATCATTTATTTGGTTTCGTTCGTTTAGAAATTATTATGCACATAAACTTTTGCATAGATTTTAGTCGAAATATGATAAATGATCATTGCTTGACGATAGCAGACTTTGTTTGCGGTCAGAAGAGCAGATATGCGTCGCATAATGATTTCAACAACAGATAATTAAGTTGCTATTATCGAATGTATCAGAAACTGTTGTATATTGTTGACAGTAATGCATTTTAATGAACAGATTCGTGAATGTGATTTGGGCGCGATAATCAATCGAGATTTGACGCGTCGTGTACGAACAGTGAATGGTGTAACAGCGCACAAACAAGTTGCACAAAACGACTTGAGACAAGCCGCGAAATTGACTGCTTTCTATGACAAAAAGGTGAGGTTATCATTTAATTTCTCCCAGTCGATGAATAATCGAAGCTAGAGTTGAGTAGTTGGCCAACGGTTTATAAATGAAGTTTGTAATCAGTAACGATAAGTGCTTTTGTTAGAGAAATTATTCTATCAAATTTAAGGCTGGCTTGTATCAATCATCAGATGAAGGTGATCAACAAAATGACAAGGACTTTGAACTGGACCTAATCGCCAAGAGTAACAATCCATTGCTGAAGAATCTTACTGATTTTCTGATAGAGGAGGCAAGTGCTGAAGAAGAAGAATTACTTGGATTATCAAATGGTTAATTTAATCTTTTAAATTTTCTTTCGCTCGTTACCAAATTTCATGTCATTACAAAAATCTGTATCGGCGCTTCTGATTTATTTATTTAATGGTATTGCCGTGATGTTTTCTAAAGTTCATTTGATGATTTTGCCCACGAAATATGTTGATTTGATGGGTGCTCGGTGAAATGACGATGACTAATTGCAGGTGCTTCGGCAACTGAGCAAGAAGATCAAAAGGTACCGTTCCAAAGAGATGATGCGCTCATCAATAAGTTGGATCATATTCTCATATATCTTCGTATTGTTCATTCGATTGATTTCTATAATCATGGTGAATATCCTAACGAGGACGTTATGCCGAATAGGTTTGTTTTATCATTTCTCCGTTTTATCATTTTCATTCACTAGAATACTTAAAGAATATATGAAATAGTTTCATTACATTAATATCAAGATGAGAACGATGCAGGTGAATGGATAACGTTATTGATAGCTTTTAAGATCTTGTTTCTTTCTAATGGAGCATTAGACGGTTTTTTGAAATTAGTGTTATAATTTATTGTTGTTGTTAAAATGCGATAACAGATGTGGTATGATGCATGTACGTGGTGATCCGCCGTCTTCGTCGCAGTGGGGTCAAGATGAGAGTACTCAGCAACCGTTAGTTGCTGTTAAATTCGTTAATGACTTCATCAGCGGATTCAATTCTCGTCTTCAGTCATCTCTTCTCAATGAAACTCGTCTCACTGATGACGATCTCGAAAATTTGGGCAAAAAAGATCCTGAAAAGTTGGTTATTCGACTCTTTGTTTCTTATCGTTTTTGTTCTGAATTTATATTTTCACAAATCGGCGAGGAGGCTGCATTTCAGACGTTAATATTTATGTGTGTTCGATTCTTGCGGAATGTAATTGTCCGATTGATAATGCATCATATGAAGTTTGATTGTTTCAGAGAAGTTGAAGCATTTATAACGGCAAATTGTGTAGAGCTTGCAAAAGACAAATGGTTATGCCCATTGTCAGGCAAGAAATTCAAGGGACCCGAATTCATTCGCAAACATCTCTTCTCGAAACATACCGAAAAACTTGAAGAAGTTAAACAAGAGGTATGTTTTATGCTAATGCATTGTATTTGTATTTGTTTGTTCTAATTCGTTCCATTCAACGACTGTGTTATTTTTCACCAATCAGTAATTGATTGGTCGATTGAAACGATTGACTATATCGATTGAATAATTTGTTTGATTATGTACTATATTCTGTCACTTCAAAGAAATTCGTTCTCATTAAGGCGGCGTTCTTCAACAATTATTTGGCAGATGCGAAACGTCCCCAAAATTTGGATGTAAAACCGACAAGTAATGTTTCATCACTACCAGCGAGAGATGATCGTCGTGATAGAGGTTATCTGATTTTAATGTTCATACGAATACTGCTGTTAGAAATAATATCGAATGTTGACGATATAATGATGGGGACATAGTACTCTTAATAATAATGTTAATGACGTAAGATAAAAAAGTGCAATTTGAGTAGCAGTAATGGTGCTAATAGAATAAAGAATGAATGATATTCAGAACCAGAGGTGGCAGATCGTGGTTCTTCGATGGCATTCGGTCGTTCGAGTGGGGGTATGATGAATCGTAGTTATGATGATCGTAATCGCAGCTATGGCAATCGCTACAGCAGTGGTTCTTTTCGAGGGGGCAATAATCGATACTGGGATGGAGGGCAAAGTGCTGGTGGCATGGGAGCGGGCGGCAGTGCCAGCAGACGTGATCCCAGAGAACCTGTCACTTACAAGGACTTAGATGCACCTGAGGACATCTTTTGATTTATTCGTCATACTTATGCTACATTTTCAACCTCATTTTTCATTTCATTTCTCAAAAAGTATTGTTGTCATCATTATTTTCATTAACGATATTCTTGTTGTTTCTATTGTCGTTACTAAAGTTCATATGAAGTTTTTTTTNTTTTTTTTTTGAATTCAGGTTTGGAATCTGATAGACAACTGGTTAAGTTTAAGATTGCTTCTGTCGTGCTATATGAAGCACAGCAACAGCTTATCATTATCAATATTCAGACAACCACCGTCATTATTTTTTGTTTTTTTTTTCTAAATCATTTTCTAATTCAAAATGTTGTTTGCAGTTTGTTGGTTATTCAGTTGATTTCATATTCTTAATTGTTGTTGAAGGATTGTCGTCATCATTAATATTATTCGTTCAGTACACGATATATCTCATTATTGATTACGTCTCAAGCTGTTTTATTGAATATAAATTGTTTGTTGATCAAATTTTACCCGTTTAAATTTAACCATTTGCCATTAACAAGCAGGTTATCAATCCTGTACATTCGAATATTTCGATTCGTTGTAACCTCGAAATAAGCTTACGCTTGATGATTGGAACAATCTGGTTTCATTCTCTTGCTCAATTCATAGTACTGAATAATTTCTCGAATTATATTTGTTCTCACCATTTTATTCATAAAGATATTCTTAAGCTTTCCAATTTTAACTATCAATCGTCGTAAGCGCTCGATACTGGAATAATTAATGCCAATGTTCCTGAAATTTTAGCTCCCGAAATTCGGAAGTTAATGTTCCTGAAATTTTAGCTCCTGAAATTCGGAAGTTAATGTTCTTGAAATTTTAGCTCCCTATTGTGTGGTATGTCGAGGAGTTGGGGGATAGGTATCTGCGGAAGTTATTGAACATAACGAAATCAACTGCATATTGAATCACACGATCGTTATTTTTTCTGTTCAATTTTATGTTTATGCTATTGAAAGGAAGGTTATGTAAAAGTGGATGTTACGGTCGGTGTAAAGTAAAGATTCTAGAATTTTTAGAAGTCAACCATTTGATTTCAATGAGTATACGGTTCTTCGAATGTGATGATAATTGTAAAGCGTCGAGAGGGTCTTGTTCGCCAGAACCATATTAAGTAAAATCTAACATAGTCAGATACTTCACTGAAATTCCGAATTTCGTGCTTTATCGAAAGTGATCATGCTGGAGCACTTTTTTGAATTGCGCATCTGATAATTTTCTTAATGACTGCAATTCCTTTCTCGTCGAATTTGAAAATCTATATGCATTTAATATAACTTAACATTTCCTTCCAATAGTCAAGCGTAACTGCTGCCACGCGAGTATTAATTTGTTAGCATGATACATATTGTTCGTATATGTACGTAATTTAAATCCGACGAGGGCAGCGAGAATTGCATCGCCTCACAAAATTTATAATCGCATCACCTCAAAAAACAATATCGGTTCAAACCTTCAACGATTTGTATGTGGGAAAATGAAGTGCGGTATCATTTGACTTATGAAATCAATTGCCTTTTATGAGTTATTTTGTTTTAACGATTGGCGGTAAAAAGCGATATGCGTCGGTGACAAGTTTTTGTGAGAATTTGTTTGTGAAGTTCAGCAATCGAATTGGATTATTCACTCATTTTGACGATTCGATTTGGTGTAATTATATGCGGAGTGAGAATAAAGCGGTATATTGCAAGGTTGTGTATGGCTGTGAAACGAATTGGTGAGTGTTTGATGTTAAAGTATTTCCGTTGAATTTATCGCGGGGTCAACGAATCATTTGTTACTGCTTTAGAATTAATCTTCCAACATGTTTGCATATATAATTGTTCTGGGAACGGAACGACATTTGTTTCATTGATGCAGAAATGACATTAGTTGTTGGATTTTGCGTGTTCTGTTTACTTTGTTGATATCGAAGTGTTTTTCAAGTACTTATCAACTGTAGGAATGATCAAGCTAAAACTAATAAAGTTGTCATTTGTGAATCGCTGATGTATCGTNGAAATCCTGAGGGAAAAGAATTTCTTTCGTTAAAAATTGCCAACTAAATATGAAACACTTTCATTCACAATTGGAGCAGATGAATGAGATTCATTCGAATGTGAATGTTTCGGCAGTCAGGTAATGAGGCGATGCTGCATTATCCCAAAAGAATTTTATTTATAGGTGAATGTGCGGAGTTAGCACTATCATTCAGTGGATGCGGTTTCCTGGGAACATATCATTTCGGTGTCTTGTCTTGCTTTAATCGGAATGGAAAGGTATATTGGTTGATTGCTTGACTCAAGAATGGTTATTTTAATCGTTTTTGCAATCTTTAAGTTTCAGAAATCATTCTCGATAATTCACCACATTTCACGAATATTTATTCATATTGAATGCATAGCGACACTGTCACAAGCACTGTTTTATCATGTTGATGTTAATAATTCCAAATCGTTAATTCAAAATCCAGTGATTTTGATCACCGAAAGTAATTTGTCGTAACACTTAATTTCAGCCGATCCTACGGAAGACGAAACGTTGCGCAGGTGCCTCATCAGGCTCACTTGTGGCAGCGTTGCTTGTTTTATCACCTGGAAAAGCGAAGGTGGTTTGACTGTGTAATCTGAGTTATTCTTTTTCAAGTATTTCTTCGTTGAAATGAACTAAATTTTATTCAGACAATTGTTAGAAAGATTTATAAATGGACGCAGAATTGTTGCTTGCGAAGGTGGGGGCATGTGATTGGTATTTTAGCGCATTAGTGAGAACTGAAAAGGTTGTTGAAGCAGTATTGCAGGTAGATGTGAGAGTGCGTTGTACCATTCACTAGCAATACTTTGCGTCTTGCTAAATGGCAAAAAAGGTGTGTAAGGCTAACTGCTTGAGAGTTGGGCACTTCAGTGCACTGCTGTGTTGGTCATTTAGTTCACCATCTATTAGATTATCATTCAGTTGTGATATTGCTGCGGAACTGTGTGTTATTAACGAACGAACGTTTGGAAAAAAATGTTTTCTATTTTGAGGAAGGATTGAATATGGTGTATGCACTGGCAAAAGAATTAAGCTCATTGAAATTTGGTGCGATCACGCCAGGATTCTCGTTGAATGAAAGGCTGACGAAAATTGTTGATGAACACATCCCTGACGACATTAGTCCAGCACAAGGAAAGTTGTTCATTTCTTTAACGCATCAAAAGGTTTCTCTTCACTTTTGAATTTCATTTTGCTTTTAAACCTCTTTTTGGAGATACATCTAGTCTAAGGTGAATAGCAATTAGTTCCTTAACAATATTCATTCGTTGTCGATCTCTGTGTTGCATCAATTCTATTTTTTATCTACGTGTATCTCTTAAGGAACCACTAAGTTGGAGAACGCAAAATTTGATTTTAGTACGTATCAGTGGATTGATCTGAATGAATAGCGATTGAAGTGGTACCGTAATGAAATCAATGAAATGAAACAATTTTCAGAAACACAATAATTTGATAGTGTCAAAATTTAAATCTCGTGAATATCTCATCAAGTGTCTGTCGGCGAGTTGCTTTATTCCAATGTATTCGATGGGCTTTAATGCGTTTGCTAATCCACCTGTTATTGATAATGAAGTAAGGTTTATCAATTATTGCAATTAAAATCACGATTTCAAGTAAAGCAGAGTGTACTGTAAAGTTAAATCGTTGACCTATTATAGCCGTACATTGATGGTGGATATTCGAATAACTTGCCAGAGTTTGACGACATTCCAACGGTTACAATATCACCGTTCAGTGGGAATGCGTCGATAGCACCGCTCGACAATAATCCCTTGAGATCACTGTTTGAGTGGCGTATGACCCTTGGCAATCAACAGATGAATGTTTGTTTTTTGTTTAATTTCATTATTATTCCGTAGCTCTTACAAATCATTGCGACATTTTCCTTTCGATTATTATTACAGTCCAGNTTGAGTATTGCTCATTGTTAAAATTAATGTTGATATTGCAATGTTTTCAAATTATGAATAGTGGTGACAAATTAGTCAGTAATATTGCAGGTGAATTTGCAAAATATAGTCCGTGGTGCCCAAGCATTATTTCCGCCATCAATTGATGTATTAACAAGTTACTTCCGAATGGGTTATCGAGACGCATTTAAATTTCTCATCGAAAATAATCTTTTAGAGCGAGAAGAAGGAACTGCCGTTTAATTGAACCATTCGTATAATTACTCCATTATTATCTTCTCATCTCATTTGTTATTCAGCAAATTTGAATTCTTCGTTTTTGTCACTGAATTTTGATGTTTTGAATGGGAGGGAAATCGTTGCACTCAGCGATGGAGCCTGATAAGTGCCAATCGATGACTCATACGGAAACGTTTCGTAGTAATACTTTTCCGAATTTCGAGATAGTCTCACGTTCCGCTTGTATCAGCTGCTCAAGTCACTAACTGTCATTCTATACTATTGGAATCACGAGCCTATCAACACTGAATACAAAAGAGGAAATATTTTCCTAGCGTGAACAGCTTCAAAACGTCATTCGTCGAGATGGTACTTCCTTAGTTTGGATATTATTTAGTATTTCGATCTGTGAATGTCGTGTCTGTTTAATTCGGGAAATCTGAACTTTCGTATTTGATTCGTTAAATGCTATGTGTTTATTAATGCCTTTTGACTGTACTTACTTATTAGTGTATTCTGCTTCTCTTGTTGGGAATTTGTTAATATGATGTCTTTTTGTTTACCTTCAGCTGACTATTGATTAATTTGATTTCGTTGACTTTATTATTAGGTCTGGTAGAAAGTTCTCGGGCAGTTAGACCGAAAATTTCAAAGTCTCATAACTCGGTTCAAAATCAACATTTTTGTTTAAAATAAAGACTGTTCGCCTCCACACAACGTTCCCAACGCGAAACCAGGGCATTTATCCCCATAGCCCAGAAACCGGGGTCCCTGGAATCAAAAAATCGGCGGACATCAGCTTTTAGCAGGGTATCATTTGGGAATTTCTTCCCACGCAGGAAGAGCTCCAGATTTTTGAAAAGGTGATAATCTGTTGGCGAAAG